TCTCTTGTTACCTGGTCTCTCGCCTTCTTCCCTCTCTCTGTATGTGCCGAGGTCAACTTCCCCCCTCATCTGGCGGAAAACCGGACTAAAGATGTGCGCACACAACATGCAGTGATTATTATACCATATAGAACGCGGTATGACGCTTACCCCCTCCCGTCCCCTGCTTCCTCCCCTCTCACGAGGTTTGCTGTTTAAACTTAAAAACTTGGAGGGGCGTGAAGGGGGAAAGGGAGGGGGGGGGGAGTCGGTTTAGAAGAAGATGGAAAAGACAAGAGGTTAGGAGAAGTTCCCTACCCCGTCCCTATTCGATAATATCAAACATGTTGTTCTATCTCGCAAGTTGTGTGCGTGAGCGTCTAGCTTGACATGGGTTCTATTCTATCCTGTCGTTCTTTTTTTTCTTTTTCTTTTTTTTTTCTTTCCATGTATGGGTATTTAGAACGTCTAGTTCCCTCCCCCTTCTCCTCTTCCTTTGATCTCCAGGGAACTCACCTCTTGATTTGCTTCTGCTTCTTTTGAAAAGTCCTCTCGATTTCTAGCTCTCCCCTCTCCAGCCCCCCTTTCTCGTCACAGTTGCCCATACGCTGGCGGGTCAGACAGAGACGGTCACACCATGGCTGGAGGCGTCAAGAAACCCGTCAACATCTTCCGTCTGAAGAATGTCGACGAACCCCCGGGCACCTTCAACTGGCGTCTGTGGTTCGCCGTCTTCTCCTTCGGCCTCCTCGGTGCTGCCCGCGGCGTGGACGAGGGTCTCATCTCGGGCGCCTTCAACACCCCCAGCTTCCAGCGCGAGATCAAGTACAGCTCCTACTCCGAGGCCGAAAAGGCCGACATCAAGGCCAATGTCTCGGCCATGGTGCAGGTGGGCTCCGTCGGCGGAGCTCTCATGTATGTCGTCTCCCTTGCCTCCCCTGTTTCTCATCTCTCGTCCCTCATGTTTCACCGATTCCCTGCTTCCCGTATCCCCCTTCACCCATGACGCAGCAGTATTCCGGCTGACCGACACCATCATAGGGCCTTCGCAGTCTGTGACCGCATAGGGCGTGTCTGGGCCACTCGTGTTCTGTCCATCCTCTGGGCTCTCGGCACCGCTATTTTCATGGCTTGCGGCGTTAATGGAAATCTCGGCGGTATCTATGCCGGACGATTCATCGCCGGTCTAGGTGTCGGTATGACGGCAGTTGTTGGGTATGTCAGGAGAGAAGAAAGAATCTATCCTCTCACCATATCCTTTGATTACCCTGTCTAATTTGAAAAAAAAAAAAAACTAGCCCGATCTATATTGCCGAAATCTCACCATCCGCCATCCGTGGTCTCTGCACCTGCGTCTTCACCGGCGCCGTCTATCTCGGTGTTGTCTTAGCTGTATGTCTTTCTCCTCCTGCCGCTCGCCCCCCCTTTCATCATGTATAATCCGTCATGTTTGTATATTCTATTTAAGTTGTGGGGGGGAAAAAAAACTGAAAAAAAAAATATTAGTATTTCGCCAACTACGGTGCATCCGTGCACATTGACGGCGAATCAAACGACCGGTGGCTGGTCCCGACGAGCCTGCACATCATCTTTGCGGGGCTCGTCCTCGTCCTGACCTTCTTCCAGTCCGAGTCGCCCCGATTCCTGGTGAAGCAGGGCAAGGTGGAGCAGGCGACGCGGGTGCTGGCGTGGATCCGCCAGCAGGACACGGAGAGCGAGTACGTGAGGCGCAACATCGCCGAGATCCAGGCCGGGCTCGACCACGAGCTCGAGGCCAGCCGCGGCGTCGGCTGGGTCGGCAAGGTCAAGGAGATGTTCCTCAACAGGAACAACCTGTACCGCCTCTACATGACCACGTCGGTGCAGTTCCTCAGCCAGTGGTCCGGTGCCGGCTCCATCACCCTCTACGCCCCGGACCTGTTCGCCCTCATCGGCATCGGCGGCGAGGAGGAGGGCCTCCTCGTCACCGCCGTCTTCGGCATCTGCAAGTTCGTGGCCGCCATCTGCTGCGCCCTCTTCCTCGTCGACGTCATTGGCCGCAAGCGCGCCCTGCTGTCGGGAATCACCCTGCAGACCATCGCCATGGTCTACGTCGCCTCCTTCCTCACCGCCGTCCCCGAGCTCGGCGTCGTCGACGGCTACGAGATGCCAGACGACGAGAGGGGCCCCAGCAAGGGTGCCATCTTCATGATCTACCTCTCCGGCGTCGGCTGGGCCCTCGGTTGGAACTCGATGCAGTACCTCCTCACTGCTGAGCTCTTTCCGCTGCGCATTCGTGCCCTTGCCACCTCTTGGGCTATGACTCTACACTTTGCTAACCAGGTATGTAAAGAAAAAAGAAAGAAAAAAAGATGTGCTCCCTTTCCTTTTCCTTCTTTTCTTTTCTTCTGCCTTCTCCTCTCCCCTCCCCCACACCTCCCATTATTCTCAGTTCTTTCTTCTTCTTCCTTCCTTTCTTTCTTTTTATAAAATTTTTCCGTTTTTATTGTGTATACTAACTACTCGATTCAAGTACGCCAACTCCCGAGCTACACCAAACATGCTCCTCCCCGTATCTTCAGGCGGCATCTCCCCCAAGGGGACCTTCTGGTGCTACGCGGCCGTCACCTTAGTCGGCGGCCTATGGGTCTGGTTCTTCGTCCCCGAGACCTCGGGCCGCAGCCTCGAGAGCATGGACGCCCTCTTCGACCTCCCCTGGTACCGCATCGGACTGTTTGGCACCAAGTACGCCGAGGCCCGGGACCTGGTCATCGATGAGAAGCAGGAGGCTGCCGAGGAGCAGCAGGGTCAGGAAACCCGTGTCGAGAACAAGGTTTAAACGATCAATGTCACGTAACTGTCATGTCCGGCTCAACATGTATTCACGACTCCTTCTTTCTTCGCATAAAGAATGATATATAGTATCCTGGAATAAGTATGAACGTTATGACGCACCTTGAAAACAAAAAAAGGACGGCGTGAGATGAAGTGGTATACATGTATGCACTGCAACTGGACTTACATGCAGTGTGGGTCGCGATGCACGTATAGACCAGATGTCGGGGGAAGTTATTCATACTGTATCAGCATGCGTGTGACGGCGTAAGAGCATCACATCAGTACATGCAAATGTATATGTATATATAGATATATATGTATATGCATACTAATTAAGAAACAATTATTTTAGAAATAGGTGATACGGCGAATGATAAAGTGCTCTACGCCTCACTACTGTCGAGTGTCTTCCTGGCCCACGCCAGGTTCTGGATCGCCGCCAGACCAAACTGAGCAGCCGAGTTGGTCGACACCCACGTCGCCTCGTCGACGGGGACAGGCACATATGGCGCCGTGATCCTCTCACTAGTCCACGTCGAGTTGGGAACCAGGCTATCGGTCTGGTTGCTGTAGAACTCGGTCCAGGCGCGCTCCCCGACCGTGGTGTTGCCGGTCTGGGAGTAGTAGAATGCCGAGAGGCGCGAGTGGCCCTGGAGCAGGCTGGACTTGGCAAAGGCCTCGCCGTACCGGGCCGTCTGCTCCACCGATCCGGCGCCGTAGTAGTAGCAGTAGTCCAACCAGGCGTCCTTGAAGCCGGCCGGGGTCTCCTCCTCGCCCCAGTACTCGAGGGCCTCGGAGATGACCTCGGGCAGGCCGAAGACGGCGGACAGGTGGGACACCGATACGAGACCCTCGTTGTCCGGGTCCGAAGGCGGCGGGAGCAGCGTGCGGTTGTCAATGTCGTACAGGGCCGAGCCCGTCACGAAGCCGTTGGTCAGGTTGGCGATGGCCGCCGCCGTGCGCGTCAGCTTCTCGCGGGACTCCTCCCACCTCGGACCGCGGCGCTCCCACCCGATCAGCCAGGCCGCCGCCAGAGCGGCCCAGTCGGTGCCAAGGTTGACAGACGCCGGCTTCCCCGGCTCCGGCAGCCACCCGTCCGTGCGCACCTTGCGCTGCGCGTCCAGGTGCCCGTACACCTGGTCCATGTCGAGCGTCTCGTCTAGCAGGTCGCCCACGCGCTCGTCCCCGCCCGACAGGTAGAAGAAGTAGCGTCGGTACTGGGGCTGCGCGATGCGCGACTGCTTGGCGCTGTCGCCGTAGTGCAGCACGCCGTGGCGCGTGCCCACGCCCTTCCAGTCGCCGATGTGGTACACGTCCACCTCGCCCGAGTGGCGCGTCAGCGCCTCGCTGAAGCGGTACACGTCGGCTCGCCCCGTGCGCAGGAAGTGCTGCCAGAAGAACAGGTTGGGCGACAGCTCCGAGTTGTCCCAGCCGTAGCCGCCCACGTCGTACCGCCACGCGTGCCTGTTCTCGTCGTACGAATGCATGAAGTCGCCGTAGTGGAGGAAGCCGTAGAAGTGGCGGTCCTTGACCTGCGCTTGATAGTAGTCGTGGAGGAAGTCGAGGTTGTCTTCCAGAGCCCGGGCCTTGTCCGAGGTCGTGTCGGGCACATCCCAGTACGAGCCCACGCCCTTGGTCTCCCGTATGTAGGCAGGCTCGGGGAGGAGTACGGGAGGCTCGGAGAGGAGGCTGTTGAGTGTGCTGAGGCGCTCCACTGTGGGGGTCGCGTCAAATGCGTATATGTATGCTTCGTGCGTCTTGGCGATGCCCTTGGGCGTGTCGAAGCCGGGCTCGTAGTCCTCGTACGTGATCTCGAGCGCATCGAGCTGCTTCTCGTACGTGTCCAGGCCTAGCCCGTCGTGGAAGGGGCGCAGGTCCAGCGGCTCCGCATCCGGGCTGTACAGCCAGAGGGTGATGCTTCCAGAGTCCGACGCCGCGTCGGCGATGTCGATGCCGGCCGGGTGCTGCTGCCAAAAGTCGCGAAGACCAACGGCCACGCCGCCAACCGTGGCGCCGCCCAGGTAGCCCAGTCCGCCGGAGCGTGTGCCGGCCGCACCGGTGAGCCACGTATATCCCGACTCGGTCCGCTTCTGGATGGAGAAGCCGTCGGCCGACAGCTGGCTGAGCCTGAAGTCGTTCCAAGACGGGACCCAGTTCAACCTGGAGCTGACGCGCGTGTCCCACGTGCTGATGTTGGGCGTCTGTCTGCCCTCGAACTGGGCAGCGCGAACCTCGACTCCCGGGTCACGGCGGAGGCCGGTGATACCCTTGACGGCTTCGCTGAAGAAGCCGCCATCCTGGCCGGCCAGACGCACGTGCCGGTCGTACAGCTCCTCGTCGGCGAGAGGAACCTGGAGGCGGATCCCCAGCGCGGAGACGAAGTCGTTGTCCTGGTCACCGTCGAACACGATGCTGTGAATGACGCGGATGGCGTTCGAGCCCGAGTACAGGTAGAATCGCACGGTGAACGGCAGCCAATCGTCGTGATCGCCCCCATCGGCCGTCACCTGGTAGTTGCCGCCGACGGTGACGAGGGCCCGCACCGTGGTGTCCTTGGTGACGGACACGTTGGCGATCTTGCTCTCGAAGTTGTAGTAGCTGACCGATTGGTTGGCGCGGCCAGAGACATCGCCGACCAGCGCCGACTGCGAGTGGAGCACGAGCTTTCCGTCCTGGCCCACCGTCTTGCCGCCGGCCGTCTTGATGCTGCCGATCAGGCTGCTTCCCGACTTGGGGAAGGTGACGGTGATATTTCCCGTGTCGACGCTGACGGAGTCGGAGGAGTCTGCCACCGAGATGTCGCCCTTGGGTCCCCCGCTTGTCTTGGCCGACGCCTTGACGGTGTACTCGCTCTGAGGGCTGTCAGTGGCCCCGAGCGCGTGGGCGGTCCACTTGATGGAGCCGTCGCGCCAGTAGGCCGTGACCCAAGAGTCCGAGGCAACGTCCCCGCCGGCCGCGGAGATGGAGAAGCTCGTCTGGTTTGGGTACAGCTTCCCCTGCGACCACGGTACACCAAAGGTCGTGCCCGAGCTGTAGGAAGGGGCGTCGTCGTCGATCCAAGAAACGGTAGAGGCCTCGCCGTTGGTTGGCAGCGAAAAGGCGCCGCCGGCAAACAGGCCGGCAAAAGCGACAAGCACTGCCGGGAGCCTCGGCATTGTGAACTGTTGTCGCCGAAACAGATATCAAGGGATTGCTTCAATTCGGCAGAACAGGCAGCCTTGAAGGGACAGGTGAGGAAACAACAGATGCACGATGCAAGCCGGGAGTCGCCTCTTTTTCAACGTATCCACGGCTGTCGTATTCCGGGCGCTCGAGGAGCCGGCCGTCCCCCCCGCACGCAATTCACCCGACCGAGCACGACAGGTCAATATTGTCACGTTATGGTGGGACTGGATAATATTAGGAGGCGACGGGCCTGCATGTTGTATTGTATGTCTACAGTGTCGTGACTCGGCCTGCCAGATGTGTATGCAAAGCTGCGTGGAACCAGGTGGTAGCATCGGCAATGGATTCCACAATGAGCTTGCTTCCGTCCACGTCCACACGTACGTGATGGATCAATTCGGCGGGAAAAAAGGCGCATGCCGATGGAGGTTCTACGGGATTTCGGTCTATGGCGTAATAGGGGCCGACGGCATGTCGTATTGATGTGCCGGATGTCATCATGGCTCAAATTGGAGGCCGTTTTGCGAGAAGCAGAGTGCGGGGTCGGGGATATTAGCTCGGACGTGTTGATGAAGACTGGAGGCCGTGAACACCATTTCCCAGCCTCGAGTGCCTGGATAAACATTGTTTCTCTGCACGATGTAACGTAATGTACCTGACAAGAATATCTGGGAAATTCCGAAGATGGAGGGGCTAACGCGTGCTTCCGTACCAATGGCTGGATGGGCAGATGATGCCATACTCCCTAAATGGGCATCATGGTTGCGTGCTGCCGAGAGTTATATATTGCTATCCATGGACCATGAGGGAAATTTCCAGCAACGAGATATGGACGAGGGAAGGTCCATCGTCAGAAATAACTGTCGTAGCGTTATCGATTCCGCCGGATGGATGGACCTTGGTCAAAATTCAAGGGCATCCCAACCTGCAGGGTGTCTGTTATGTGGAAGACGTCCTAGAGACGTGCAGTTGCAACTTCCCAGCGAACATCGAGGTATTGCCGCTGGAATTGTGCGATGAATGGCTCTGGATGAGAGCAACCCCGTTGCAGACGGAGATCACCTGATTGGAACGCATGCCTAGTATACATGGGCCACAGAGCCACGTTACTGTGACTGAAGATGCTCTGACTGTAAGGTTCTGTAAAGTTTGACTTGGTGACTGCACAGCCATGATGCCAAGAAGTTGATGCCATCCGACAGACACGACGCACACCTGCGATCCGACACCATCAGATGAAAGCCGCATTCCGTACGTGTATGTGCATGCCCTTCTCCTCAATCCGGACTTCTGAGGGGCACGAGAAAGACCCGGTGCACCGTACCGGTCCGTGAATATATCTATCTATCTATCTATATATATATCCTCTAGCAGCCGCGTGAGGATCGACCAACGCCCGCCCTTGCAGGTAGCTTCGCTGCTACTTGCGGTGGATCGCGATGGATGAAAGAAAGGGGGACTGGATCTTGGCATCCAGGAACTCTTTTCCACGGTGACGAGACGGTGGATGTCGTCTGGCACGGTACAATGTACGTGTGCGTCATCGAGGAAAACGGGAGGTCCAGACTGGCCATCGTTGGCCGTGGTGGTGCGGGGGCGGGAAGGCATAGGCGTATGCCAAGATGCAGCTACTCATACAGGGAAGCGGTGGCTAGGGAGATGTTCTAAGGGGTCGACTCAGCCCCGAGGAGGTCTGCCTGCTGTCCGTCACCCTCTTTGCTCCAACACGACTTGTATTGGGAAACGATGCCGATTTCTTGGGATCAACGCTCCGGGACATCCGGAGGAACAATACAAGGCGGCAGTCTGGCCGTCTGGTAGAGAAGGGGTTTACGGGGTTTACGAGAGGGCGCCATCCAGTGGACTCTGGTGAGATGAGGCCGGTAGTAGATGGTATTTCCCGGATGCTAGGGGCGGTGGCATCCACGGACTGCGCTGGTAGATCGCCTGCTGGCCAGACCCAAGGGGTATCGAGGTCAAGACCCGGCAGTATGGACGCGCTGCTGCAAGACCGGATGGGAGAGGCGGATGAACTCGAACGTTCTGCACGCCTTGTCCAGCCTGAGCGCCTTAGGCCGTCGCGTCTGCCATCGTGCCACGGCTAAGGATACACTATTATATAATCTGTGCTGAAGGCTATATGGGCTATAGCAAAGGAGCGCCCTGATAGCCCTGACACACGTGACAGATCCACATATAGGTGCTCCACCTTAACATCCTTACAGCTTAAGCTTAAAACTGGTCTGCCGCTTGATACACAGGTAAGATAAAGTGGGTGAATACGGCGGTACTGCCCGGTACATCGGCATATCTGAAGCGATGTAACAGTCAAGATCTTGGCTTCAAAATAGGAATCAGCCATTAGACGGCCGGCAATAAGCTCAACAGCACGGTGTGGAGCACATGCTTCGACAGATCGACACGATACAGCGAGGCCATGAGACCGTCTTGTTCAACCATCCAACCATGATCTACGGCCTAGGCTTGGCTATGAGAAGTGTCGCACACGGGCTTCTGCTTTTGGTCAAGCTCTGGGCTGCCATCCCATGTTCCTTTTCGTAGCTCCCTACCAAATGTTGGAAAGTCGACTAGCTATACCCGCTCAGCATCCGACACGCGTACGGCTCAACCAAGCAGGCTCCTGGCTACATTCATACGTCGTGATGATTCATATATCATGAGGGGCAGCCATATCGGACGAGGGAGGTGACTTACCTCTACGCGGCCTGACTCTTCACAATTCCTTCTCTCCCTCTTCATCTCCCAAGGACTTCTTCCTGAAGCAATCAAATCGAGTCTACCCAGTCCCGACTCCGACCAGCCTTGATGGGTAAGATCTTGTTTTTTTTTTTTTTCTTTTTTCGATCCCTGAGGTATATTCCGGGCGGTGGGAGGTGGGGTCGCATCCTCCCTTTTTCTGATCATCGTGTGTCTACTTGGAGTCTATGAGGGAGCTCTTCGCCCTCATTCCCCTAGTGTCAAACTCCCTCCTACTCTTGTCCTATCATATCCAGAGCTAGTATTTCTGCCTACCGCTCATCGTAACCGCTCTAGACGAGGAAATGGAGCCTTGCATCGTCACACTGGCAGGAAAGGGCAATGAATATGCGCGAGGGATCGTTCCTGACCGACCGTGGCGTCTCGACCGATTCTCCTCTTCGGAACCCCCCCTTGCTGGTTCAACGGTAGAAGGGATCGACGCCGATGCCGATGCCTTTGGTGAAGAGCGGGGCCTGACGGAGCACCGCGAGGAGCTTCGTAGAGAGGGGCACTTCTCGCCTAGGTTGGCCAAGGCCCGGGGCCTCTGAAAACATCGACGCCATTTCCGAGGGGTGGAAGATCCTTCCGTGCAGAGAGGAGACAGATGAGTGAGATCAGCCCTGACAGCTGTGCTCTCTACGCGCCCTCTTCGCCGGATCGACCGCTGCCCAGGGGATGGACCGAGATGCTGCCGACGGCGCGCAAGAGTTTCTACCACGGCATCTTCAGCACAGAAGCCCCTGTTCTGCGGACTGCCCAACGGCGCCCCCTGTTCTTGCTCTGCACTTGTCAGGTGTTGGACCAACCACGTACTCGACTGGACATGTAGCGTCTCTCGGCGACTGGGATCACGGAGAGTCTGAGACCAGCGTCACGAATACCAGTAGGGTACGGAGGTGAGGGTGAGAGGTCTTGACTCTCCAACTCCTGTACCACGTAGGGTATCTGGGCAAGGCGAAGAAGATGGAGAACCTGAAAGAGAGATATCTATCATAGTTCTTGGCTAGGCAGCGGGACTGAGGGTCATAGGATGGTGCCGTCCTGACTCGGGCGAGACGCATGTATACATCGCAGTGCACAATATTGCTAGGGCTCGGATGACTCCGCAGGAAACCACCCCCACATAAGATCGGGAATGTGCGGGGTCGAGGGTGTGGTTGGTATGGCGCACGTCACTCCATCTACGCTACTACATCACCCTCTGTGCTGCCATCTGTCCAGGTCGCAACCCATTGACAACGGTGACCGAAGGTCCTGTCGATGGTCAGGGTCCTAAATCTCCAAGACATATACCCCAGATGAACGTCGCAGCTTTCGTAGCTCGTCGTCGGGGCTGGCCATCTCACCTTGGCGCCATGTGGTTCTGGAAGGCGACATCTGCACGGTACGGTGCAGAGATGTCCCGGACCCGATGAAGGTAGCGCCCTCTTTACAAGGCCAGTTACAGTATCTCATCGGCCGTCAGTGCTGCGTACTGAGCCAGAGCTGGTGGTGACGCGCTGCCGGAGCGGCATCTGGCAGCGCGACCAGATGAAATCCCGACCTCGGAATAGATGAATTCCAGAGTCAGTACCCAGGGCGCCGGCATCAGGAGAAAGACGCCAACTCCTTCTAGCAATTCTGCTTCTCGTTTGGACCACCAACACGCTCAAGATCAAGATGCCACCGACAACCTAGGCTATGCATCGCCACCAGTCCTCTTGGCAAGACATACTTGACTTTCCTCAGCTCGAGCCGCTGAATGGCCATGAGCGGGCAATCGGGAAGCGTCGCTTATACGGGATCGTGGCCTACTTCGAGCTCAAGGCGAGTAGCAAAACGCCGTGCAACCGACCGCTCCTGATCGAGAACACATGCGATTCTTCACAAGGCGGAAAGTCAAGAGATGATGCCATACGCGTCTTTTTTGAGCCTATGGAGACTCCCATAGCAGCAGCGTCACCTATCGATTACGCCGCTTTGGAAACGGACTTTTACGACTTCGCTACCTATTTGATGGATGGCCTCTTTATTCCATGTCTGTTGCGCTACTGATTTCCGTCGCACAGTCCCGCATGGCTACATGCGTTTTTATATATATAATAATAGTGAGAGCAGCTGGCAGTCGAACAATCCAGCCGTCGCCTAAATTCGACACTGCTGTGGCGAGGTTGAGGCAAGGCCACCTAGAGGTGGGCAAGATCGGTCGATGCCTTTACGACGGTGCTGTAAACTAATACTTATTTGATATCATGGACTTTCCGTAGATTCAGTCACTTATATCTTCGCTTGTTGGGTAGCGACCACAAATGTATCTTGCCGTAGGTATGATGTACGCATTCGGGGTATGAATGGTGATGTATGGCAACGGGGAAGAGCAGCAGAACATCGACGGCAGATGGCATCTACATGGCAAGCAAGGCTGGTCAGCATCCTAGCTACAAGCTAGACAGGACACCGGCTCTAGCCACATTTTACATCCGCCCCCCGACGCACCCTCTTAGATCGCGAACCACCCACGCCGTCAGTCCTTCGTCCAACTAGAGCTCTACTCTGAATAGGCCCTCGTAAGGCTTAGACTTTCTGCTGACGTTGCCGTTGTCGGTAATGGCATCCTTTTCAAATGGATGAGTCTATTCTAAGCTCGGAGAGGGGCTTCGTGCCGATAAACAGCGAGGGCTCGACCTTCTGTGCGGGTGGAAGCACATCGTCGATGGGGATATTGCGGTATTGCGGCGCCTCTACTGGCTTCCTGTTGCCGTCCTCGCTAGCCTTGCCCTATTCTTTCTCAGTATCCTTGCCATCCACCAGAGTCATCCTAGACTCTCCCGTCACTACACTCACGTCGTTACCCGGTGGCATAGGTCTAATTGTTAGAGACGTGAGAGAAACAATAGAGAAAGTGATGAGGTCTTGTACTTGAGAGATAGGAAAGAATGATAGAGAGGCAACTTTTAGGGTTAACTCAATTATTCATCTCTATCTTCTTTCTTCCTAGCAGCTTCTTGGCTACCTCTTTATACTAGTTCTAGGATCTTATCTTTGATGCCTTGAACTTATAATAATCGTTATATTTCCTTAAACCTTGACCGGATCTTTCTCAATAATCTCCTACTATCCTTCTTAGATATGGCTTGATGGCTTGATACTTCCCCAACTGTTCTTCATCCTTCGTCAGCACTTGAAATATACAGAATGTATATACATATACATATACATATATTTATATATTCATATATACTATCCCCATCATCTATGCGACCTACACATTATAATCTTTCATCGACACCTTAATCTCCCGCATGTGACCATGGCCAGTGGAAAATCAGGAGTACATCGCCCGGCTATTTTTCTTGTCGTTTTCACTACTTCACTGCCTTGGATATACATTGATTACGGCTTCAACTGAAACAAGAGAGCGGCGAGATTTCGATACGCTCCACATCCACATTGGCCAGTTATCCATCACCTCTTCTCTCAGATAATCTATCGTCTTCGATCTAGATTTCTACTCTCTACCCGGGCCCTCCATTCTTAGTGTTTCCCGTCTCGCGATATTGCTTTTGCGTCATGGCGTACTCTGAACCCGACCCGGAGATGTGCAAGACCACGCACGAGGAATCGGTATCTGCACGGAGGTAGGTTAGATGGATGGACAGTCAAGTAATGAGGGAACCTTGCGAGAACACACCACTGACACGGCCGGCATACATTCAAAGGTAGGTCAGGTGTGGTGTGGTGTCGAGTTCTTGTGTTGTTATTTGCTACGGTGCCGGACTCGACGGTTTTACGGTCGAGTCTGGCTCGTCTAATCTGCGTACAGATTCTCCATGACACCCAGCACTTACCCAGAGGGGTGTACTGAAGTAGACATATGAATAGTGAACTGTCTCACGACGGTCTAAACTCAGCTCACGTTCCCCGCTAGTCGGAGGGTGGACAGTCCAACGCTTACCGAGTTCTGCTTCGGTACGATAGGAAGAGCCCGGCATCGAAGGATCAGAAAGCGACGTCGCTATGCACGCTTGGCCGCCACAAGCCAGCTATCCCCGCGGTAACTTTTCTGGCCCAGCTTACAAGCTGTATCGGCGTAGGATTCGATTATGTCGAGCTGGTAGTGGCAAGTACACCTCCCCTCGAGGAAGCTACCTCTGTTCTTGAACAAGCAGATTCCCAGATGCGACATTGAGCCTCTCCCCCCGCTCTACGGGTTTGACGATCATGCTGGCCTGACCGAGTGCAAGGGATAGCCTCTGCAGCTAACAAAGCGAAGAAGATCCTCCGGCTTTAGAGTCGAGCGAGAAGGGACAGGGGAGAATAGTTCTAGAAATATTGACAACTGATTGGAAACAGTTTTTTTCTTCTTTTCTTTTTCACCCTGGATTCTCTGTCACGTATCCTTTCTGACCGAAGTGTATCATCCCTTCTTGGCAATACCTTACGTGAAGAGACGCCAATCTTGGGTGTGGGCGTCATCACAGGTACCTTGATTTGAGCTGCCATATCAACGACACCCCCCAGGAGTTGTCATTGAAACGTTCAAGTCGTCACCGGACGAGGAAATTAAACATCTTCTCTCTGCCTATTAAGCTCTTGTTTTACTCTTGCTCTGGAAGAGTGAAGCGCAGCGCATCCTGCCGTCTCCATTACTTGCGCGAGCAGATGCGGCCGACAACCTGCGGCAGATGTGAAACCCGATCTATCGTCTCTGCTACAAGTGATGTATTCAATGTCACTGCGGGGGTGGATCCGTACGAGGCTATGGAGTATTCGATCTCAACGGTTAAAGTATTTTAAGGCGAAGGCTTGCCCGCTCGGCAGTTTTCTGAAACCACCGGGTTGGCCTCTTTTTTCTTTTTCTGCCCCCCCCCCTCGAGGGGACGGGCGTCTCAGGTGTTGCCGCACCATTCTCTCCCGCCTTTTTTCCTTGATGTAGAAGGGGCTGATTGCGGATGTAAATATAGCTCTGGGCAACGAACTACACTGTAGATAAAAGCGAATAGATCGCCGACGTTTCGAGAGCATTATTCTTGTCTTTCTTCTGATTGCAATTCTTTTTTTTTTTCCTCTTCTATTTTTGTTCTCCGCGCTTTTCTATCTCGATTCTCTAACTACCTCATCACCGTCATTTATCATCTTTTCCTTTCACTATTTTTTCTTTCTACAGCACCGTCCTTGATTTATCCAGGATCATGGAGTTGAGTTCTGTCCGGTATCAGTCCAAGAGACTGCGGAGGTGAGCGACTGTTGAAATTCTCGCATTTCGGATACAAAGAGCTCGAGCAATGCTGATAGATGATGTAGATTTCGAAGTACGGAGATTTCGTCTCGTCGTCTCTTTGGCCGACAGGTTGCAAATAACCCAGAGGAAGAGGTAGAAGAGGAGGAGGAGGAGGAGGAGGTAGAAGAGGAGGAGGACTCAGACGATTCGAGCATCTCGGGATCTGAAGACAGCGATGACGACGAAGAGGACGAAGAAGAAGAGGAGGAAGGCGAAGAGGAGGAAGGCGAAGAGGAGGAAGGCGAAGAGGAAGAGGAGGAGGAAGAGGAAGAGGAAGAAGACAGTCCAATCCAGACCACAATGGTCCCGCTGGTCGAAGGTGGTATAGCCTCGAGCACATCGACGATATCCAGCGACAGCCCGGCGTCGACGTCTATCGAACCAGAAGCAGCGCCTACCGCCGACCCAGTGCTGTCCGAGTCAGCTTCGCTGCCGCCATCGTCAGGGCCCACCACGCTCCAGACGTCCACCATTACGAGCGGAGACCAGGCCGCCTCGCAGACATCTTCATCCCGGCCGACCGCTGAGCTGGCAAATGATGCCGTAGATGCACAGGGGGATGCGCAGGTCACCGGGCCTTCCCGACCTCGGGATATCGGCATAGTCATCGGGACAATACGTATGTTTCTCTCCGCCCTACCTCCCCACCCCCCGGCGGCAAAAGAAAAAAAAGAAAAAAAAAGAGATCCGATACTGGCTGCTTCCTTTCTCTTCTCTCTCTCTCTCTAACCCCTCCACCTCTAGTGTCCGCCGTAATCTTGATAGTCATCTTCATCTTCCTCTACAGGCGCCGTCAACGGATCAAGGAGGCCAAGGAGAGCAGCACGGGGACAGAGTGGACCAAGCCGCTGCCCGACGAGCCGCCCAACAACGACAAGGACTATCACGGCGTCAGCGTGTGGTCTATGAGCGCCAAGACGAATAACGACGACGGAAACAAGACGGGGACGTATAGCCAGTATGGAAACTTCTTCATCTCGGATGAGAAGACGGGACGAGGGATGATGGAAGAGTACGAATACATCGTTCAGCCGCCGGCGGCGACGGTGCGCTCCAGCAGGGATTTGCACATCGATATTTCGAGGCAGGCATTGACAGGAAAAGCTAGCCTGAGCCCTTGAGGCGGAGTTTGGGTTATATATATATATATATATATTTGGGAGCGCATCGAGGCGGGTCATGGCGTCTGGGTACAAGTAGGAATCATTGATATCACGACGATGGTGTTGGGGAGTATTGTCTCGTAATTTTCTCTTACACATTGATTGAGATGGATAGGGGTAGGTAGCTGTGTAACGGCTGGGAAGAAAGAAAGAAAGAGACAAGAACGAAACGAAACAGGCACAATGGAAATTTACTGGCGTCTTCATTACCTCTCGTTTCTGAATCAGCAAAGGTCCGTAAATTAGATGGAATGTCTCGAACCTCTCCTACTTGAAGCTTGGCTCAGGCAGAGCAAAAGCGATACCGGTGTATCGCGGTAGTCAGGGTGACCGTCTGCTCCAGAGATGACATCCTGCGCCCGATGCAGCCCCGTGCGGCGGCAGGGAACGGGACGAAGCACGGCTCCATGCTCGCCCTCCTCCTTGGGATCCATCCAGAGATGCGGGTTGTAGACCTTGGGCTCCGGGTCTGCTGTCGGGTCGTGGTGCGCGCCGTAGATGGTTTCCCTCGCGCCTCTGAACCGCCATGGAGGGCAGAAGTCATCCGGAGAGACCACGTACTTCTTCCTGCCTCGCATTCGTCCCTCTTGCCAGACCAATCGTAACCCGGCTGACCGAGTTGAGGGCGTGTGATAGTAACCGTGAATGCAAGGCTGTATCAAGGTCTCGTGAGTTTACAGTCAACCTCTGCCGTTGCTGTCTCTTGTCGCATCATCGTGCCATCGAGCTCAGCTCACTGCTCTGCAAGCCCTGTTATGGTCAAGACACGTTCTGTTTCCCAGTGGACTTCTTCCTTGGGTCTTAGCGAGAGCGATCCTGTATAGGAGCTCCGCGTACTCCGTTTGCGTGTACGATACCCACCTCGGGTGAGGAGTGTGCTGTTAGTACGTGCCTCTCCTGTTCGAATTTCTCCGTAGTCCCAATACGCAGGGGCCAAGCAGATGGCGTGGGAGATGGCACGTATCGAGCGCTGCATCGTCCGACAAGGCGAGTCCCATAAGAATGAGAAACCAGCCGTCAGCAATCGATCTGTTCGGTTGGTCTTTTTACTTCCAAAGTAGGCCGGCAACGGGCCCTACCCGGTAGTGCTTACGGGCCATCTTCATTTGCCTATTCTGTGTATTGAGACGTTATGTTACATCTATCCCCCGCTTCATTAGTTGCAAGTATGTAGATTTATGTGAAAACCAAAACTTCAACAATGCGCCGCTCAACCCATGGCAGCAAGGCGTGTCGCCATCTTCAGAATCCTTGTGACGACCCTCGGGTCCGAAGAAGGCAACCCTGGAGTGATACACAGTCTTCCGGTAACCTTGGCTACATGTGTACTTCTTGATGCAGACAAACAAAGGGTCGAGATATTCCTTCTTCTCGCCGTGACCCATCGGACACTGACCAACAGCTCGCCTTCCACCGTTTTCATATCGGAAGAGGATACCGGTGCAGTTGCCGTCTTCGGAGAAGACCGTCGCACTGCGGACGGCGTCCAGTTTTGCGAATGAGAAGTACCGTTCCGACCCGGAAAACGGTACGGGCCAGGAGTCCTCGAGCGTCGGTCTCATATCCGGAACAGACTCCGACAGCTCACGGTCCGGCTGTTTTATCGGCGAGTAGGCTCCGACGAGGGACGATCCCCTTGCTTCCCGCCGGTTATACACCAGCAGCCGAGGTCGCAGTATGGTGTGGCTCGTGGTGATGGAGTCGGCCAGACAGGTTCCCACAGTCACAGTGCCGACTAACTTGGTTTTCAGCTGAGCAAGAGCGTTAGAGACAATGATACCTAACTGGAAATTGGCAGGAGATGGAAAAATGAAAGTGAAGATGAACAAAAAAAAAAAAAGAGAGAGAGAGAGAGAGAGACAGAAAGACATTTCGATCATGGGAATTACCGATATCTGAAAGGCCCCGGGAGCTGCCTGCTCGACCCTCATCGCCTTGATAACATCGTGGTCCGCCAACGGTACGTAGATCCAGCAGTAACCGTCAAAGGTCAGTATGCGCGAAGTAGACGATGGCGGCAGCACCGTCAGCGGCGACTTTCGTGTGTGACCGTGAATATGAATGAGGCGACCCATGCGCATGACAAAGGTCAGCCCGGTGACCTTGTCCAGGTCTATGGTGCACAGACAGCTTTCGTTGTACAGCGATCCTACAGAAACGAACATGTCCTGGAGAAGATTATTCCCTTGCGGTGGTATAGGCGGTGTGGGAATGTCCCAGATAGGTATCCCTCGACGTGAAGTAGACCAGACTAAACGCATAAGGCCGTCCTGAGAAGAAGAAAAAAAAAGGAAGATCAGTACGAGCAGTCCGTGCAGTACACCTTCTCCTCTCCATCTTCTCGCCCCCCCTCCCCTCACACCCCAATGAGCGCGCTCGTGGCGATGGTTGATCGGTAACAGACCTGAAATATGGCCAAGACATCCTTGAAGCAGGACACGGGCTCGACTACGAACACCACATTGCTGATCCTCTTGGGGTTGAACGTCGGCAGCGAATCCTCCGAGAAGCGTTCGACAGATCTGAGGCCGTGCGAGTCGATAGCCAGGCGGATGATTGCCGACGGCGTCCAAGGCCCGGCTTCTCCCAGGACGACTGGACCCTGACCTCGATCCCACGAGGCGATGTCAGACAGCGGCATGGTGGTCGCCGCAGTGATGGGTGACGAGCCGACGAATCTGCGGGCGAGGTCAGCCGCTGCGACGATGCGCCAGAATACCGCATCTTCCGAGTATCTCTTGACGATCCTGACTAGTTCCGGCGGTAGCCTGGACAGCTCTGCCGTCCCGTATCTGGACGAGACGGCCTCGAGGGTGTCCTTGCTCAGCATGGGCAGGTCATCTTCCTCCAGGAAGAGAGCGGGCGCTCCCTTCCAGGGGACGCGCCAAGCCGTGAACCGCCAGAGGCTGTCCAGCAGCCCGGCCGTCTTACCTGCCGGTGCCTTGATGCACTGTCCGAGGAAGACTTTGAAGCAGTCGTGATGGATGGTGACGGATTCGGGGCTGGGCGCGCAGTGCTTGCAATCCGGCATCCAGCACGGCAGCCAGCCGTTGACCAAGTCCGACAGAGTCCCCGTTCCATAGGCGGTGAACGGAAATGCGTCGGTAACGAGGCTCGCCTCAGTTGCATGGGAGTTCCCGAGCACTAATGATTGATACACGTGAAGTCGAGTTAGATCACGGCCCTGGCATGCCTCGTTCGCGGTGTTCGTCGAGGCTTCCAATCCTGAATGGTAGCGCCAGGGTTTCTGAGACTCACTTCCCACACACTTCTCACCAGCGGAGAACAATCCACCGCAGATGCCGCATTGGTACTGCAACCTTATATGCCGCACAGCCATGACTTTCTCTTCTCTTCTCTTTTTTTTCCTGTCTCTCTCTTCTTCAGAGTGCAGAGATGTTATGCTGAGGGCGCATTGCTGTATGTTCTCATGCAGTTCCTCGGTCCTCTTTTTTTTCCTTCCTTTTCTTTTTCCGGCTGACAAAACAGGACGGCGTATTCGGGCGCTTAATGCAATTTCGCGGGGTTGTAGGATTCCATGATTGTAACGTCAAGATGCATGCGCCTGTATGGAAACATCACATAAGCCCCACCGGGAAGAACGCCGGGCAAAAAAAAGCTGGCCCTCCTCCATGGATCCTCATCACCTACGTTATTCACCATCCGCTGTGACGGTGCTGTGAGGGTAAATCTTCAGCAGCCGTGCGGCTCTTGCTGCCTAAGAGAATCAACGTGTCGTATCAGGTCGTCGCCACGTCGGTCGATTATGGGTCCCTCCCTCTACGACGGGTAACAGCATCGGCCTCTGCCTGTTGGGGCGACCCCTCCACGCGCACGCGGCAGGATACGATTGAATTCTCGCTACGAGTCTTGAGCTGCGGCTACTGAGGAGGGTGATGTCCTGAGAGAAGTACGGGAAACATTCCGGACCGGGAGCAGTGAACCCTCCAAGAAATTGACCTCCACCTCGATGGGCCGACCCCAGCCCCGGGCAGACCTCCAACCCTACAGCTTGGCTCGTGTACGGCCGTCGGCCAACCCGGATAGCAGATCAGCAACGAGATCTACAGAATCCGACGCCATCCCGTAACCGGCTTGGAAGCCGGTACCCCCTGCGCCGTAATCGTGTACCAGCATCCTCTCGCGGCCATGGACGACCACTCGCTCCTTCTCGACCCGGGCTCCCCCCTCTCGCGACGGTCGCAGACCGGCAAAGGCTGCGAGCACTTCCGGCTCCTCCTTCGCCAGCTCAGCCTCTAGACTCTTCGTTCTCTCGAGGATGGACTGGACCTCGTACGAATAAGTGGAGGCATCGCTTCGTCCATACAGCTCAGTCAGCAAGTAGTCGGTATCACGCAATGATGCACTATTCAAAAGTCTTGCCGGACGATATGGCGCGCGCGCACTTACCCTACACCTTTCTGAAGATAGCCGCCGAGGACGACATTGCCATTGGACCCCGGGCGCGGGATGATGTACGTCACGAACTCCTTTCCGTGCCGCATCGTGGTCTTCGTAACGCTCGGGGCTCTGGCGAGGACGATCTGACCTCTGGTGGGGTAGCATCTGGCGTCCTCCACACCGGCCAGGGTTCCGGCCGCCAGGCCCGTGCAGTTGAAGGCGATTCTGGTGTCTTCGCTGGCAAAAGCCGACGAGATCCCGCTGAGCTTCTGGCGCCTGAATCGGACGCCATATTGACTCTTGAGACGCCGGTAGAGGTGCTCGATATACTTGGGCGCGTTCACCGTAACGGTGGTAAAGGATATGCCAATCTTGATCCCCTCCGGGAGCTCCTTGGGTGCCAAGATGGCAAACTGACAGATCATCATCAGTCTCTGCGGGTCTCTTGTCATTGCTGCTGCTGCTGCTGTTGTTATTGTTGGGGGGGGGGGGGAGGTTGCCGGGGTAAAGGGGGCCGACGGGAAATCCGCTCACGTCCTCAAGATACGCCGACATGGCCTTGATCTTCTTGGTGTCGAGATGGTCCTCCCAATATTCGATTGCCGGGGTGCGCTTGACAGAAGCCCTCTCGCCGTCGGCCGATGCAGTCTTCATGAGCTGTGTGTAGCCCAGGCGATCCCATCGTAAAGCGTTGGCATCCGTGCCCGAGATTGCCGAGAAATTGCACCCCGCCCTGAGTGTGTGCGTGTGTGTGTGTGTGTGGATGGCCTCCGTCAGCTTCCTGTCTGCAAGCGTTAGGGTGTACCGGATTTCAGATTTTACCATGGCGATGTGTACGTCGCGGCCGTGTCTCCGGGCAGGTACTCGGCAACGACTGTGACATGACGGCCGTGTCCTCTCTCGGCGAGGACCAGAGCCGTGTTGAGGCCGATGATGCCCGCGCTGGATCGTACGCTGTCAGCACCATCACTTCACATCATCCATGTACCGTCGAGAATGTGGAATGCGCTGCACGTACCCGACAATGACAATCGAGTCGCTCATGATTGTCCCCCCCCGCAAGATTGTCCGGTAGAGATTCTATCGGATCTTGTTGATCTTGGAGGTCTTTATTATAACGTGGGCCGGGGCGGGACCCAGATGTATCTACCGCTTGTCACTGATAAGAGAGTCTTCAATGCACATGAACCGATATCCGCTCATTGGCCGACTCCGCAGTCGCAGTCGTAGTGTAAGGAAACTGTTGGCGGCCAAGCGGTCTGGCTGGACTCATCCTCCACTTTATTTTTCGACCCCCGCGCCGAAGGTTGAATCTTGGTCCGTTGTCACGCCACGAAATTCCCTTGTCCCTGGAGCTCTGAGAGTGATCGGAGACTTGTTAGGCTTCCTAAAACGAGATGATCAGAAATGATAAGCCTTTCTTACATGCGTGCTTCACGTTTCTGCTCTTGCGAGATGGTGTACTGCTGAGCACTGCAGCTGTAACTATACTCGCACCAACCCAACCCCCCCCAAAAAAAAAATTATTAAAATTAAAAAATTAAAATTAAAACCCCCGCCTTCTGCACTCGGTATCATATACCGGTGGATACATCATCGCTGCAGCTGGTCAAGAGGCAGATGGTATATATATATATAATATGTTGACAGGAGCCGTAAATGTCAAGTATCGGAGTAAGCGTCACGACGGCGGACACGACTATTGGGAAAAAGGGTGTTTGTTGTATACATTGGGGTATCTATCGTAGAACAAAACTGACAGGTAGTACAAACGATCTGATAATCATCTTCACCTCGCAGCGTCAAGGGGCGTTGTCTGCAGGCGGGCCGCCAGAAACTCAGCCAACTGCCACCCCCGTGCCTGTCTTCTGAGCGTGGTAGCAAACCGGGACATCCAGGCGTCGGACGCACAGGCGCAGACGGGAATCCCGTCGACAGCCACGCAGCCGCCGTTGGCAACCCACCCGCACGACTCGGAGATGGCACTGACATCTATATCCATGTTATCGATCGGTGACCTGCTGACGACACCACACGTGCAGGGGACAGCGTCGGTGAGGAACCATCCCTTCAGCACCGCCGCGGCCGTGGACAGGGCAACGTGGGCGATGGGGTCGATATTCCCCGGGGGACCATTCACGGTGTACAGGGCGCACTCGTAGGCCTTGAGGATGGCGAGGCAGTGTAGAATGGCCTTCCTTGCGTCCTCGGTGACGGCCCAGCGGCACAGCTGGACGATGTCGGCGTCGACGGGGGTGACGGGCGAGCAGGCAGATGCGCCCCCTGCGCCGGCAAGGCTCCACGATCCGAAGACCAGGATAGTCATGAACCGCACGTTTATGTTGAGGTGCAGCAGCAGGAGGTGGTACAGCATGCGACCGTTGAGTACGAACAGCGTGATGCGGTTCATGACGGCCTGCTCCCACCCCGGCTGGGCCTCCGTCTCTCTGCCCATGTACGCGGCCAGGAGGCGCCTGATTTCGGGCGCGTTGCCGACAGGGTCGGCCCACAGGCTCGCGATCCCCTCGAGGCGGTCCTTCCAGCTCTGTAGAGGCTCCGAGAGCCACGCCCGGCCCGAGTCACACTGGGGGACGAAGCCGCCGCTCCACTGCACCTGTGCAAGCTTCCAGATGTCGTGGCAGCTCCCGCACAGGCCTATGATGACGTCCTCGACCATGGTGCCAGACGGTATCATCACTTGCGGGCTCTGTGCCATGCTCGCCATGCTGAACGAGCTGCGGTCCGTTGGTTCGATACCCACGCGGCGGAAGTACTTGTCAAGACCCCAGGCGTTCCACAGGGAAAACGTCGGAGGCATACTCAGCTGCAGCTCCTCCGCGTGCAGTATAGGAGGCTGACTAGATACGAGGGCCAGATACACGTCGATCTTCAGGGCACTAGCAGCAAGCCTAAATCATTGGATGAGTCGGCAAGATGATGACGGAATTTTCTTCTCTTGAAAAAAAAGAAGAGAAAAAAAGAAAGAAAAAAAGATCCTTGCTCTTACCATTTCCATTTGGTGTATTGGTGCTCCAGCCAGGGACGGAACGTTCCCGGGTAGTGCACCTCGGCATGCCTTTCAATCTGCCGCTGGTTGAACGCCCCCTTTTCTCTCATGGAGGATATCGTGAGATTCAGCAGCCGGCGGGCCCTCGGCAGTAGACTCCTCCGCTACAGGACTGTGTTAGCCCATCGGTAAAGATAAGAGATGAGAATAAAGATATGGTGGCATGGAATGTCAAAATTACCCCAGACTCGAAGGCGAAGATGGCATTCAAGAGGGCCACCTCGTAAGCCATGTGCGGCCACGGCTTTGGCCCGCTTGACTCATCGATGTCTGCGACGATCTATACGATGCGGGGGGGTATGATGTCAGCTTGCTTTCCGTATACTGTGGGGGCTTCTGGGAACATGGGTCACAGTACCAATTCCTTGAGAGCATACGAGGCCAGGCGGCCGTGAATGCCTAGTATGATGTCTGCCGTCTTGTCCCCGCTGAGGAGCCATGCGCCAATCATGGCGACCGCGGCGACGGTGAGCGGGCAGCTCTCCAAGTCGTCCCTGAGGGCAGGTCCGTGGATGACGGGCCATCTCTCGTGGAAGTGGAGAAAGTACGAGTCTAGACAGGTATCCAGCCAGGCAGCGTAACCCACCGGGAGGTTGATCTCCGCTTCCGACTTGCCTGATACGTGAGCCGCGATCAGGCCGGCCAAGCATCCCAGCCCCACGCGGAGAGACAGCCGGGGGGACTGGGGCGCAGAACCGGCGGTGGAAACGGCGGTGACGGCCACCTCAGCCGGCACGGAGCCTCGGGCTTCCAGCGATGGCGGAGGCGCATGGGCGGCGTAAGAGTGGGGAGGGGAGACCGAGAAGGACTCGGACGACGACGATTGTGGAGACGACACTGTCCGAACGGCGGTGGTGGTCGGCCGCCGATTGACGGCGGCCGGCGGCTGGATGGAGGAGCGCTTCCTGCTGCCGACGCTGATCACGGCGTCCTCGGCATCCGGGGCTCTGGAGTCGCGGGAGTAGGTGCAGACGATGCCTCTCTTTGTGCAGAGGGAGCACTGCTGGCCGCCGTCGCACTTGGTCTTGCTCTCGTGGCAGAGGTCGCAGGCGCTCCATCCGCGTGCCAGGGGCGCGTTGAGAGAGTTGTGCACGCCGAGATGGCGACGCAGGACATCGTTGCGGGTGAAGGAGCGGCCACATACGGGGCATGTAAATGACGGGACCTGGTGGGTCGCCTGATGCCGCCTCAGGTGTTCCTTTCGGAGGAAACCCTTACCGCAATGGCATGTGTGACGTGTCGTCTGGCTCTTGCTGACACCGGCCGGTGCGTGGGAAGCGTTGACCATGTTGGTGGGTTTCCGAATTCGACGTCACCAGCAATGCCAGACAAGTGGGATGAATGCACGGGACTTGGTCTTGGTGCCAATCGTATTCACCCGCAGCGGCGCATGCACACATGCGCGGGAACTCGACACGCTCAAGAGCGCTCCCTCCTGCCTGGACGGGCCGTGGGCCTATCTCCCTCGCCCGCGTGCCGGGAAGCGGCGTGGCTTGAGTGGAAGGGGCCGATATTGCCGTGTATGGGTGTGTTGGTTCGGTGAGCGTGACTTGATGCTGACGGTCGGAGGGCTGATGGGATAAAAGTGGTGTAGCGGTTCGGTGTGGGGGAGAGGGGGAGGAGAAAAAAAAAAGAGAGACAGAGAGACGTCAGGGAAGGAGCTCAGCAGAAAGTGCCTGAGTAATGGTAAGTGGGAGAAAATGAGACCAAAAAAAAACTGATAATTCCTCAATCTTCTTTCCTCGTCGTCGATTATGAATATAACGAGAATGTAATGTTTCGAAATGCAATTGCTGGGGGAAGGCCTTCAGGTCAATCCATCATTTCCTTCATTCATCTCGACCATTATTCATCCCGCCCACATCTATCCCACTCATCCCACCGTATCCCACCGGAGCGTCCTCCCACACCAGCGGCCCGGGCTCCCGATTTTAAACGACAGCTTGGACCCTGGACGGTTCCAATTAGGAGCTTCTCTCTCGTCTCCCTTCTTCCAGGGTGGATGCCATATTTAGATTTTATCTTCATGCATACAAGCTATGGGTGCGGGGAATTGCCACATGCAGTATTATTATCAGCAAGCCCATTCTCTTGCGCGTACCTATCGATATACTACTATACATATACGAGTACGTAGCAGTAGTAGTAGTAGCAGTATTATTACATGTGATATAAGATGAGGCTCAACTCGACATCATATCTCGACACATGCACGTGCTCATCATACTGACCGGGAACTTGACGTGCTACGGTTTCGTACACGTATGGCTGATGGGACGTACGAATCATATCTGATCCGATCAGTAGCTGCCGCATGTTACATCTCGCATCTGATGTGCTCTCCTACTACGAATGGTGACATCTGTGCCATCCCACCCACCAAGCCGATGGGATAGGTGGGAGGGAGGTACATGACGGCCGCATACGTCTTGTATGCACAGCACAGGTACCTGGCCGTCCTCTATCCCACGTCTGTGGTCTGCGCCAGATCAGATCACGCACGCAACACACACGCTAAGGAGAGCAAGACTTGGATGGTCAGCAATGGGATGTTACAGAAAGCCGAAGATGCAATCGACACTGGAAGACGTGCAATCGGATGGACCGACGTCAAGTTATTTAAGCCCCGCCCCATCCTCCTCTTCCTTCCCCCCCCCCCTCGTTCCCTCTCTCTCTTCCAATCTCATCCATCCCCGTCAGACATGTCTTCCCCCATCAAGAACGTCGCCTTGGCCGGTGCCGGCGGTGATGTCGGCTCCGTCGTGCTGGAGCACCTCCGCGCCTCTGGCAAGTTCAACCTGCTCGTGCTCCGCCGCACCGGCTCCGGATCCACGTTCCCCTCCGACGTCAAGGTAGCAGACGTCGACTTCTCCTCGGTCGAGGCACTCACGGCCGCTCTCGAGGGCCAGGACGCCCTGGTGTCGACCGTCGGCACCGCCGGCCTCGCCGGCCAGACTCTTCTGGTCGACGCCGCCGCCGCCGCAGGCGTCAAGCGCTTCCTGCCGTCCGAGTTCGGCTCCAACCTCGACAACCCCAACACGCGCAAGCTGCCCGTCTTCGCCCCCAAGGTGGCCGTCCAGGAGCACGCCATCGCCAAGGCCAAGACGTCGGGCCTGACCTACACCTTCGTCTACAACGGCCTCTTCCTCGACTGGGGCCTGCAGAAGCAGTTCCTCTTCCGCTGGGCCGACCGCAAGCCCACAATCATCGACGGCGGCGACGCCGTCTTCTCCTCCACCAGCCTGCCCAGCATCGCCGACGCCGTCGTCGGCATCCTCACCCACCCGGAGGAGACCAAGAACCGGGCCGTCTACATCGAGGACATCAAGCTCACGCAGAACAAGCTCCTCGAGCTGGCCAAGCGCGCCTTCCCCGCGGAGCCCTGGGAACCCCAGCCCGCTAAGCTCGACGACATCACTGCCAAGGCTGACGCTCGTCTCGCCCAGGGCCTCCTCGACGCCGAGACGTTTGGACCGTACATCCTCCGCGCCATATATGGCCCCGTAAACGGCGCCAGCTATTCCAAGACGGACAATGAGCTGCTCGGGCTCAAGGGATGGACCGAGGACCAGGTCCTCGAGCTGTTCAAGAAGACCATCCAGTAGAGCCGTTGCATCCCATGTGCGCAGTCGAATAGGAAATGTTGTATATACACAGCAGCAAGCAAGCAATGAAACATTTTGAAAAACAAAACATCATTGTACACTCCACCCGTTTCAAGCTACATCTGACATTGACGTACGTTATCCGACCCGGAAGACCTGTCAGGACCCATCAGAGAGGAATCGTACGTAAGTGGGGGCGAAAGGACCCCGAAAGTGCTATTACATACGTAGTCGTCACCTGGCCCGATCCCGTCAACTAGTCACTAGTGCCTGCACCGCTGTAACGCTTCTGCCTCGCCTCTATACGCAGGCCTTGCCACTCATCTCACTACTCCCTCCCCTGAGCAGACTCCGTTGCCTGACAGATGCAATTGTATAGAAGCACTGGCTCTAGCCATGACGCTACGCGACGTACACGTAATACCATCGCCTGATGGATTCACTGCCACATACATGTGATGATATCTTGCTGGCTACATGTAAGCTATTATCTGATCTCTCGGGATTCCTTCCTCCAGGGTAGCTTGATTCTCTCCAGTGCGCGTGCGCTGTGGCGCTTCCTGCGACTCTTGCACGCTCTACACCTCGCTGCATGTCTCCTTGATGGATCGCCCGACTCTGCCAACACCGGATCAGGGAGTGTGCTTTGGTCCTTGAGAGGAGCATTGCGGGCGGAACGTGGCAGAAGCATGTACCTATCAATGGCAATCTGTAGTCACGGGTCATCTGCAGGGTCAAGGTATCTCGAAAGAACCGGTCAATGATCATAGAAGAATCCACTTGGAGGACACGCAGACCTCAAGACACAGCAAAAGGGTCATATAATAATACCTGTTTGCCTCCTCCTCATCCCCATATGTTCTGTCATCTATCGCTGCGTGATCGGGCGTATCATCGCCTGGATACCGTCAACCTCCCGCCCTTCTCTCCTCATCCCGATCGGGGACAGATGGACTGAAGGCAGGAAGAGGCAATGGATGCGTGGATCTCTTCTTGCGTCACCCGCCTGGTTTAGGGAGCATTCGGTCCAGGAGGGCGACGTCAACCACTGCAGTGATGTCATTCACCTTCCCAACGCCTTCGATCGATAGTACCGTGTGGCATATAAGTTGGGAATCCTTCGTACTTACCGTATCCCTCGATGGAGAACAAGAACGAGAACGAGAACAGAACTCGACGTGTTCTGCAATTCACCTCTTCGAAACAGATCTTATCACCACAACGCACATCGCTACATCCCATAATCCACCACAACATCCAGCGCACAGACACAGAGAGACACACCTCTTACCAGATCCGACAATGACTCTAGCTCCCAGTGAAGGCACAAAGGTAAGGCACAGATATCTCCCGCCGCCATGAACCCTGGATGCTCTGCAGTCTCACGACCCCGCCATGCTGACATGGACATCCTCACTCAAGGTGTACTCCGGCTCCGCCGCCCCCACCGAGAAGGAACCGACGGGCCCGGTCCCCACGGGATCCCTAGCGGACGAGTCCGCCACGCACGACGGAGCCTTCTCATCCAACAGCCCGCGCTCCTCGTCCGTCGCAGGCCCCAGCACCGGCGGCGCGTCGGAGACCGCCGAGCTCGAATCGGCGCCCGACTCGGCGTCCCGCTCGGCGGCCCGGGACACCACGTCGACCGACGCGTCCAGCTACGACGCCGCCACGGGTTCCGGGAGGTTCTCGCCGTCATATGCGGGCAGGGACGCCGCCGCCGGCACGGCCCCGTCCTACGTGGCGGAGCAGTATATCCGGGACCCTCGCGGCCCTCACGGGAAGAACATCTCCGACGGCTTCCACCACTCCGGCACCGAGGACGGAACGCAGAAGGCCATCAACGCCGAGCCGGGGAGCATCGACGACCCTTCCCGGTTGGCCGAGAGGCAGTTCGACCTCAAGGATAACACGAGGACGAGGGCCGCTGGACCGCGCGAGCATCACGTCACGCATCAGTCAAAGTACGATTCCCTCAGTGCTGATGCATCGGCTTAGGATGCCCAAGGCCTGGATGAGATTGGATCTACCAATTTACGATGCCTGAATAAGAAGCCTGATGCAGAATTTCATCAAATGTCACAAACAAACCCCTCCCCCCCCATGAACAGATTTTCAAAAAATAAAAAAATTATTCGATACATTACAGATCCGTCCCCTGTGTGAAATGCGAGTTATTAGTGATTCACTGTATTGATGCGTCGAATTCCCCCCAATCGACACCCCCGCTACATGATCATGTACTTTTCCGCTAACAATATCGGCCATCTTTGTATTCACACCGCCATGTCAGCAATACATCACCACTTGCTTTCTCTCAAGAAGAAGGGTACGATGCACCAAATGCATCTCAGGAAATTTCCCGTATACATTCGTCAGTACCCTCTAGATTTGTTGCGGACGTGGGGCAAAATCATCTCAAGGGCCACATGAATAGTCGCCTTCCTCGATTGTATCAGGGGAAGGGGACAGCGATCAGTATAGGTACACTTGCCACTATTGCCTTCTCTACTATATCGCTTCTACCTCACCACTACTCATCAGACCTTTCTGTCGCTCATCTCGCTACCCCTGCCCCGAGCATACTCGTCGCCCGACAGTGCGTCGAGGTCTGATGATGACGGGCCCCAGCAGTTTACTCTTACTACAGGTTACTAGTAATAGCAGTCGTGTCTCTAGAAGCGATGTCCTGCCTGCACCTGTAAAGTTGCGCCAGCTTCCATGGTACGCAACGAATCGGACGAGACACAATGTATATCTGCCCTTGGCCCCTGAAAGTCCAATCTGTCGTGTTCCAAGATTACAGAGCAGGCCCCTCCCAAGCATCCCTGCGTAACCGAACAAGCCAAGACTGCTTATGCGGGAACGGTATCTGCTTCTCAAGGGCGAAGCCGCTGGATCTGAGGTGGGTGAGGAATCTGCCATGTAGCCTGTGAGTCTTGATTCTAATTCCATCCTTATTCCTCGTATATAACTCCTCCCCCCCCCCCTCTCTCCCTTTCTTTTTCTGCATCTCTTCTCTCGAACTTGGAATAAGACTGCTCACCTCTCATTGTCGATTCTGGGCTCCAGGCAGATGTTCATGGTTCGATAATCGACAAGCAGGCACCAGTGCACCAGTGCCGACAGCCACTTGGATACACGACCGCGTGCCCACTCCTCTCCAACCATGACGTGCAGACCTCGATCCCAGTCGGCAGCTTCGCCGTTGAGGTAATGGCCCAGCATGTCCTCCTTGACCCAATAGACCTCAAAGAAGCCAAAGGGCACGCCGTCCCAGAGACCAATGGCGGGGAACGAGTGGCGGGACTTGAGGGCGCCTTCGAGGAATCCGGGGAAATACTCGCCCCAGAAACGGCTGACGCGGGGGTTGGACAGCCATCTCCGCATGAGGGCGGTATCGCTGAGGCCGGTCAGGTGCTGGTGCTCCTGTGGGGGGTCAGGGCCCACGGGACCCAGATGCGGGACGGGCTTGGGCGACGAGGAGGCGACGCGGAAGGAGAGGTACTGCCCCACGCTAGGGACGAAGCGGGAGTAGAACGTCTCGCCCATGCGCGGGGGCTTGGGGCGGAGAGGGTGTCGGATACCGTCCGTCATCCTGTACTGCGGCGGCGGCGGCGGGTAGTACGTCGGCAGGTGGGACGAGGAGTAGAACGGTCCTACGGGGAAGCCAGGGCTATTTACCGGGCCCGTCGGCACGGGGGCACCGGGAAGGTCGTTCTCGAAACGCTGGAGAGCCGACTGCGATGAGCTGGTGATCTCGAGGGAGGCCGTATGGCGATGGAGGGGGTGGAGCTTCGACTCGCGAGTCGGGGAAGCTGGTCTGCTAGAGTTTGGCGACCCGGGGTGAGAGGAGTAAGTCCTGGCACGGGCCAGGGTGAAGAGGAACAGGCCGGGCGGGATCTGCCAGAACATGCGTCGCGAGACAAACATGTCTGTCCATCCGTCCGCGTCATCGTCAGGGTGCGTGCCCACGGCCGTGTCGGCGCTGGCGATGAGGCCCATGCGCTCCAACTTGGGGATGAGGTTCCTTCCGCGCAGGATGCCATCACGCTTGACGCGCACCGACCATTCTCCGCGGGGCTTGGCCTCCTCCGGGGTGAGGCGGCTCGGCTCCGTGTCCAGCGCCATGCGCGGCTCGGTTTGGTGGAAATACCAGTACAGCGTGACCCACAACATCATGGCGATCTGACGCGTGGGGCTTGCGGCCGGTTTGAACTCGCTGTCTGCAGGGTTGGAGATGGTCGAGATGAACAAGGCGTCATTGCGCAGCGTGGGCGTCTCGAATGGCAGAATGCGAGTACTGGACCTGAGAGCGGGCGGGAGATCGTCGTCGTCCTCGGCTGCCTTGCCATCGCCGCCGTTGCCGTTGTCATCCTTGCCACCTGCCTTTCCGTTCTCGGTGTGGAGGATGATTGTCCACCCTGCCGGGAAGGCGTGGTGGTGCGTATTCATCTCATGGCTCTTGAAGCTCAGGCCGCCAAAGACGGATGAGACCGTAAATGTCTGCCCATCTGGGAGATGCAGTATCTCTCGCACCATGGCTGACAGATGTGGATACGATGTCTTTTTCGTTCTCTTTTCCAATCGTCAAAAGTTGTCGTGAAAGCTATCCCTCCTTCTTGATCCCAAGATCAGAGAGCGAGGGTAATGTCGGATGATGATGGCGGGGTAGCTGTCGTGGCTGTCTGTTAGACGACTCCACCAATGCTTTCGGAGAACACGAGAGGAGGAGCCCAAGAGTCGATATCTAGCTGGCTATATAGTTTACCGGTGTTCCAAAGTACACAGCTCAGAGACAGTCACAGCTTCGGATGACGGAATAGCATCTACCTTTTTGTAGAGATGAAAAAAATATGGAGCAGTGAAGAGGGATAAAAGCTTTCTGCAGGTGATGAGTTTTTTCCCCCCAAAGTGGAAGGAACGACCCGGGTAAGCGAGCGATGTAAAGAGACTTGGTTGCAAATTGCGTACGATGCCGTGTCTAGATACTTGTAATAGTTAACATCTTTGCAGCATCATTGCCGTACTAGTAGCAGTCGATAGTGGGAGTAGACTACTAACGTCGTACTATCTTTCCAGGCTTCACGTAACCCACCACCTCCACCGCATGCATATGCAGCCTGGAGGAATCACATTGTGTGAATCTGTTGTACGATAAGAACCTGTCCTTGATCATCGTCTCTTCTCAGTCCACGTCAATGTTTCATTTCTTTCCTTCTTGATGTCACCGTTCATCTTCCCATTTCTACTCGTAGTGTATTTCCCGTCTGCCTTTCTCCACTCGATGCTATCCGTGTATGTAATATGCTGTCCTGCTTCGTCTCTATTCCACAAGGTGATTCCAGGAAAACACCAGCAATATAAATTAAAGTGTGTATTGCTCCACATATCAAATACATATCATGATACAAACTCGCTCTCTTGCTTTTTATTTTTTATCATTTTTATCAATTTTTTTTTTTTTTCATTTCTCTTATCCCGTGCTCAGATGCAAGATGACCAGTTCGTTCCACCCTTCGGAATTGCCCGTCGAACCAGTGACGATTGAACCAATTACATCATAAACAATGTACGGCTACCAACACACCAAACACACCACGCCCCTAAGAAAAAAGAAAAAGGAAAAAAAAAAAAAAAAAAATAGAAGCCCCGACCAGAGCCATCAAAACATCGCATGGTGTTTATGAATGCCTCGCACATTATTCGTCAGCCTTCTCCAACAACGGTTCCGATCCGCTCGACTTGGCCTTCTTGGAACCATTGCCGCCCTTCTTGGCATCCTGCTGACCCCGGTCGTCGTCATCCCCATTACCGGCCTTTTCACTCTCCAGCGTCTCCTTCACCTCTTCCCCTCCCAGGTCCTTGACCTCGTCCCACTCGGCGTCGTACTCGGCCGCAATGTTGCGGATCTCCATGCGCAGCATGTTGGCGTCGTCGACCAGGTGCTCCCACGCCTTGTGGTCGAACCCCCTCTCCTGGTAGAGGGCGTTCTGCCGCCGGGACACCGTCATGTTCATGGCTGCTTTGTAGCTGAGGTCCTTGCTCATGTACAGGAACCAGAGGTAGCCCCCCATGATGGTCGTCAGACCCGCCAGGTATGTGACCGGCTCGACCAGGTCCCACCCCATGTCCGTGTGGAAGGTCACGTAGTAGACGACGGCCCACCAGGCGCTCAGCGCGACAAACCCGCCCTGCGCCAGCCTGTGCGCGCTCCTGTGCGCCAAGAGGTCGCACTCGCTCTTGACTTTGGCCATGTTGTCTATCCTCCGCGACTTGGCCCGTAGTCGAGCCCGCATGTAGTAGGTCCTGTCGCTGAAGCTGGGGACCGACACCCGCACCCCGCTCGCGCCCTCTGCGCCCCTGAGGCCTTCGATCTCCACCTGGAACTCGCGGCCCCGCGCCGCGTCCCGGATGAAGTCCCCTACCTCGGTGCTGCCGCTCCAACGCACCCACCGGGAGTCGTGGTTGTGCGGGCCCTCGCGGCCCAGCCCGGAGTAAGACGCTACGTTGTCGCCCTGGCTCCGGTCCTTCTTCCCCCGCTCGTGCGGCTCCCTCTCGTCAGCCTCGGCCCGGAAGGACACCCGCGGCAGCTTCTCGTTGCCGTTGACGCGCAGCGGAGGCACCTCGGCCTGGATCAGCCTCTCCACGTATGAGAGGGGCTGCTGCGGGTGGACCAGAAGCGCCAGAGGCTCGACCGTCTCTCTGGAGGACGGCGGCTCTTGCTTCGTTTCGGGGTCGAGGTATTCTTGATCGGCGTGGAAGGGCAGCGGAAGGATCAGCTTGAGCAGCCTAGTGGGCGTCGTCAACAGACGTCCTGCGATGGGTTGCATTAGTGGCATTCTGCTCGGCAGCCCCGTGGATGCCTCGTCAACCGCCTGTCGCCGACACTAACCTATCTCTCTGTTCCCCAATGCAGGGTCCCGGGAATCCGACTCGGGCTGTGTCACGTTGCTCTCCCGGTGCCAAGGCCGGTCGTCGGCGTAGCGCTGGGCGGTCCTTCCATATGGCGCACCTTCTTCGCCCTCCTGCTTCTTCAGCAGATGAGTTTTAGCATCGGCCCCTGAGATCCTGGAGGCTGGGGACGTGGAGAATCCCCGGATGCGTCTCCTGCTCAGAGAACCTGTAGCGGTGCCGAACCCATTGCTCTGTCGTAGAGATGTGAGGCAGCCATGATGCGAACGTGCTGCTTTCGTCGGCAGGCAACCGATAGATCGTTTGGTAGCTATGCGCCAGAGAGGGTTCATCGCGCCAATTATTGCGTCCAGATACTGCTGGGGTCCCTTGAGTACCGTCGTTGTGAGAAGCCGCGTCGTTGATGGTTCTTGAAAACGCCCATGACGTTGAGAGTCGGGAGCTGAGACTGCGGTGCCTTGATTGTTGACATTGGTAGCAATGACGTCAAAGACCAGAAAGCTCTAGTTGCAAGTTGCCTGCTGATCACCGATGCGGTAGCTACCGTCAGGCCTAAACATCTAGTCCGACGCAACGCCATCAACGTCGCCCATAAAGCGGCAGTCAGTGGCTTTATTCCTTCCTCTTTCCCTCCATCTCTCCTGGGAAGAAACCATCCCGCCTTTATTGTGATGCAGAGACGAAGCCAGAGACGGTCGTCTCGTCACGAACTGTGCAAGGACCCATGCTGTGCGTCTACGTATACAGGACAGTGGTTCCACCATCGCCCCTCATCAGTCCCGCGCCGCGGCAGCGTTGCTCCCAATAGTTTATCTCCGAGTAGAATCCGCTTCACACACGCATCGAGCAAGTCCCTCCAATCTCGGACATTTGCGCACAAAATCCATCGCCTTGGCCCACGTCTCCGCCACAGCCCATCCGAGTCTGGGTGCTGGAACGCAAGAGTTAGAAAGATAGAGGCAATGCACGCCAACATGCTCTGCTGGCATTTACCAAGCGCAGTGCCCGCCATCTACCTGGAGATCCGAAGCAGTCAATATAGCCACTGCCATCCCCCGGCAAGAATAGAACGGGCGCTCTGTACTCATCCACATCGCTCAGTCTATAGAGCATACTATCTCCCATCCATTACTCCTCGATGCCCTTTTTACCTAACGACTCAGCCGTCGGTCGGGTGCCGCAGGATCAGGGCCAAGGACGCAAACACCTTGGGGATATCTGCTTCCTTTGTGACGTCTAGCTTCCGGCACACGAGATAGTCGCCGTGTTCTTTCGAGAGGGAGCCCCATACATTCTCGGGGGGGGGAGTCATTGTATATGTCCAGGCAGACGACATCGCCGCCGAATTCAATAACTCAATAACTGCTTTGGTTACGGCAATACCAAGGAAGCAAACGCCCCCGGCCACTAAATGTTTCCAGCGGCTTAGTGAAAGCAGAAGAAAAAATGAGGTGGGCAGAATCCATATTACCTATGACTGTGCGTGAGTACAGCCGGAACAGCTGCGTGGTAGGTACGTCTGGCCGCCCTGACGAGCCTTTACCTCCCGGAACGAGAGATATGTGATGCTTGACATTGTGTTGGAAAGCTTTCGGCATGCGGTCCAGATTAAGCCTGTTGTTTTAGAGAGAATGATTATGAAGAGAAGCAAGACAAAGACACTAGAAGTTGTTGTCTGGACATATGCCACTTTGTATCCATTCTGAGGCGACCTAACAAGCAATCCAGACGCCTCCGCCTTCTCGAACGGCACCGTGCTACTAATCAGCGACTTGGCAGAAAATGGCACCGGAGCACAGCATATCGAGAGCGATGTCGTAGGTCATCGGCCCGTAGTGGAAGCATACCTTCAGAGAGATCTTCTTCTCACGCATGTACCAGAATAGGAAGAGTCTGATACGGTTTCCCCATCCCCGCCTGCGCGAAGACATCTTCAGCCTAGACGCAGCATATCCCCGTCTGCGCAGAGATCTGAACCCCAGTACACTCCAGCACCACATCTACACCATGTGGCAGACAAATCTCGGCCTTGAACCTCTCTGCTTCAACTCGTGGTGTCGAATCCAGTCTGGGGGTAAACGTGCCACGCTTGACAAACTCCTTGGCCAGTCCCAACTCGTCATTGTCAATGCCCGTGATATAGACGGCCCTTACTGCAAAGGTTAGAGATCACCGGATGAATAGAAATGGTTGGTCAGGAAGAGAAATCTCTGCATCGACTGCGGTGATGCCTCCCCGAAGCCGTTCCGGATCACGCCCTCCCGCATGCTTTCAGGGGCCCGTCTTACATGAGAGCTGGACTTGTCGTCATCTGCGACGACTACTGCAGCTATGGCCTTGGAAAATGCAGTAGTAGCGAGAGTCATCGGTTTCGCCCGCAAGTTTTTCTGTAGGTTCGTTCAAACTCGGAAACCAGGTATGGTACTTTTCAAATCATTGTTTGACCGACCCGCCTATAAGGAGTGTTTTCGAATGTTCTGCGACGTAGCCATGGGGTTTGGCGGGGGTACGCTACTTGTAGCGTCTCTCGGCGGCGGAGATCACGGAAATGGTGAGGCCAGCGTCACGAATACCAATAGGGTACGAAGGTGAGGTTGAAAGGTCCTGATTCTCCATCTCCTATGCTACGTAGATGTACATCTATCTATCTATCTATCTATCTATCCATCTATCTATCCATCTATATCTATATACATAGCTCCTTCCTATAGCTCCTTTCTAGATGGGACGTCAGGGATGTCCCTCCGCAACACTACTACCCCTAGCCACGAACTCTGAGTAGCTCTCAGCTGGCGGTATGCGCAACTCCTTCCTATTTGGCATACATGCTGAAGGGACGTTTCCCAAATCAGATTGGCCCGACGAGCTTATGTCCGGGAGTACGCACCTGGCTTCAATGAGAATATGCGATGTCCCCCAAAGTGCTGGACCGTAATGTCCTATCTCTGCTAACCTCCAGTTTAGCCTCGGCTTTTCCGAGCCTGCCGTCGACGGCGACTGCAATGGATACGGGGGGGTAGGTCGGACGGTGGGGGGAAAACAGCAACAGAGCTTTCGGGCCATGTACGTGATTGTTCTTCTAGCTTGGAGACATGTCCAGCTCTCGGGCCTGGACGGTGCCATCTCGATTTCTTGTACTGGCAGTCAAACCCATTCTTCGAACACAGGCCACACTGAGGCCGACCCACCAGCGAGTCCACGCTATAGGTGCTGACACGTACCCCGTGTTAGTCCTTGAAATGGATGGAATTGGGCCGATCAACCACGTGGGGGACAGCTTCGGTTATCTGGTCGGTCTAGAAGGGGGCGGGCGGGACGAAAACGAGGGCCGTGTCATGTCCGGATGGCCGATCCCTGGCCGATCCCACTCCCAACACCGCAGCCAATATTACGACAGTCAGACGTCGGGAGCCACTGCGGGGAAGCCACTGCGGGGAAGCCTGTGACTGTCTTTGCATCCTTTGGTTGGCAGGTGATAGCGACAATTCGCACTTGTCGGCGGGCTTCTCTCCCATACGTTCCCATGTCTTAGCCGGCACCTCAACCGAAGATGCCGGACAGAAAAGAATGCCGACCAAGCTTGGCTGACAACGGGCACACGGCCCGAGCTGCAGTCAGATACGCCAAGACGCGGCCTGACACTGTTCAATATTAGATATCTACTCCCTCTCAAAGCCCCCGTTTGGATCTCTATTCTAGACGCGATTTGGCAGACAGATGTTCCAATCATGACAGTCGACGCCAAGCTCCGGGTCGCCAACGACTACAATTCAGCCGTAGACGAATTCGCTTTCAAGTCTCTAGGTAAGACGCACACATATCTGCCACACCTGTTCCTCCGTGGTTGCTCCTATGTCTTGCGGTAGATCTTCACGACAAAAAGCCGTCCGGCTCTCGAGTCCTGATCGGACTATCTGGAATCCCTGGCTCGGGGAAGACGACGTTTTCCGACGCCATCGTGTCGAGGGTCAACGATCTGTACAGGAAGCGTCATGGGTCTCCGGAAAGCACACCCGCCGTGGTAGTCCCCATGGATGGCTTCCATCTCTATCGCACAGAACTGGCGGCCATGGCAGATCCCGAAACAGCCGTTCACCGGCGGGGAGCAGCCTTTACCTTTGCGGCGGAGGAATTCCACCGCCTTGTAAAAGACCTGGCCGAACCCACCGGAGAGGATGCGAAGTCCGTGTACGCCCCGAGCTTCGATCATGCAAGCTGGCAGCCGGCCAGAGAGAGCCAGAGCGGATCAGGGACGAATTCGCCCTGCTCCGTGGACTTGCCCAACGGAACCCAAATGCGCCAGCGGTGTTATCAGCACCTTGAATCACTTCCAGGTGAAAGAGTCGTGTTTGTCGGAAATTGGGGAAGCTGCCGCCACGTATTGGGTACAGTGCACTCTTTGCGAGTGCGATACAGAGGAGAGAAGGATATTTCGGAAGACGTCCACTTGACTGCGGGTACGCAGGGTGAGAAGGGGAGATTCTTGTCGCGGCAGGTGTTCACAAGGCAACTTGTCAGGTACAATAACAGCTTCGATCTCTTTCGCGAGATCTCGACACCGGAAGGCGCGACAAGCGAATATATTGACGGCCCGTATCATCCTACTCTCTTTTCAAAACGGTTGCGTAGAGTAGTACGATACAATTGAGTTGAATTTCGTTTCAAAATATCAGCTAGTACGGCTAGTAGTATCGATGATATATTGATATATGTATATGTACAGAGCTGTACATGCTCGCGAAATGTGGTGGCCTGGATATTATATCACTGCGGCCAATCACAGTCCTACAATCATAGAGACAAAGGACAAAAGGGGTAAACCCCAGATTTATCTTATTTTCTTTTCTTTTTCTTTTACTCTACAAACAGTATTGTAGGAATTTTCGCAATTACCTATTTATCGATATCTTAGTCTGAATTCTCATTGGTAGAGCTAACTGTTACTGCTGTATTATATTCAGTTCTTCTCTTCTCATGTCTCGGGTTAAATCCATGTTGATGATTATGTTAACGGTATTTGTACAAAGCCCTTTTCCTAGGCAACTTTTCAAGCATTCTACTTTGGCTAATTCCTTGGTTGGCTCTTTCACTGACTTCACTGAATGGGGCTGTTGTCAGCTTCGAGTAATTGCATCGGTCTTCAGGTACCGGCCCGTCGGCAGAAATGGGAAGAGGAAGGGTCATTGGTAAGACTATATAACTGCTGTAAAGAGGAAAAGGGGGCTACGAGAAGGACAGGCGGATAAAGAAACATCTACGCTGAGAAGAGTCATTGGAAAGACTGAAAGTTCTGGAAGGAGGAGAGAGGGAGGATAGCGACAGGCAACCTGTTTCTGCCGCCATACAGGCCAACTCCAAAGTATAGTAACAGGAGATATCCAATGTCCAGATCAGACGCATTTGGGGAATACCTACATCTGTCAATGACTGTCTCGCTATCCTGACGGCACATGACAGAGGAGGAGGTATGAAAAAAAAGGAACAGGCACGATAGGAGCGAGAGACAACTCCCTCCAGGCTCCGTATCATCGAGATTGCACGTTCGATGCAATCCATCCATTGTTTTTCTGACCCTTGAGCTCATGCATACATATCAAGTCCATCATTCACGCCTTCTGTTCCGGCTCCCCCTTGATCTTTACCTTGCTCCTCAATATATGGGCCAGTGGCACATCTATGCGGCAGTCACAAACAACATCGCAGGAAAGAGCAGGTCATAGTGAGGTACAGGGTCCCAGGACTCCCAGGCTTCTTCCTCTATGGGCTTTCACCTTGAATCTGTTGTTAACATGCCGTGCTTCCTCGTCTGAGATACATGGAACTTCCCTGATGGACAGCTTCTCTCCCTTTATTCATCTATGGCGGGTCAAGTTCCAGGCATCTCACGTCAACATCCGCTACGTCTTCGGACGTCCTCTCTTCTGCGACCAGCGGAAACAGGCAATGACTTGAGATACTTTCGCGCGCACTCGCCTAATCACTTTCTTTCCCACCATGACTGTCTACTACAGGATAGTATATACGGTCACGAACGATTTGTATTATGCTGACAAGCAACACCAGAGACGACCTGGACATGCTGACAACAGCGCTTCAGCTCAGATCTCACCCTTGAGATGGCACGGTCTGTTTACTGTGCTCCAAAGAGCTCTGATCGCACTGGTCCGCCTGCATGCGTCTCCCGTCGTCTCTCGTCGTCTCTCGCGCCTTCCATTAGCCATGCTACGTCAGAATAACCTCTTTCCGCCGCTCCATGTGTTTCCACGATCCTCCATAAGAGTCAAAAGCTCGTGAACACCTCGGAATCAAAGTATGAAATGCAGCAAATGCCGATTTGTTATTCGTCAAGGTGATGATATGACGTATATCGTCGAAAGCTTGTGCCTTGACCCCAGATCAGTAGCTGACCCTTCGTCTATAAGTACCCCCCCTGTTTCCATCCATCCTCTCGATTTCTGGTTCCCATCCATCCTTCTTGCATCTACACTTGCAAGACCTGCTCTTCCTCAGATTCGGCTGCAACTATCCGCACTACCTCATCAAAGCACGTCTATCTGCTTCAAGCTACAGGTTTCAGAAATTCACATTTAATCGAAGCTGTCAAACACCATCTCCAGTCAAGACGCTTCCTGTTTGAAGTCGTCGAACACCTCGCTCTTTTGGTCGAGACGCATCTTCTCTGTTGCCCCTTGTAGGAGAGGCGAGCACGGACAATAGCAACAGCAACAATAACAATAACAACAAACAACAACGTCAACGACAACAACAACAACAACAAGACTTCGAAAAGTGTTTGAAGGTGAGCACAATCACAGCCACCGTAAAAACTCTCGGGGTCACGCCCCAGAGCAGTCATCATTCCTGCTTCCTATACTGACATTGTTCTGGATAGGCCACAACCTTCTCTCTAGCAACCAAAGCCAAAGTCTCGTGAACCCTGTGGGAAGGGTCACAAACACACAAAGTTCCTTCTCAAGGCAACAGAAAAGTCCTTCCTCGAGGCACCCTCTCACTTCCCAAGCCCTTTTACTCAAGCAAAATGGTTGGCTTCAACCCTTTCCACCCAGGACAGGAATTGAGCCCGGCTGGGGACGAGTACACAGTCCCAGTCACGTTTAGGCGTGCACCTGAAGCTAAGCTTGATCAACACGGTAAACAAAAGGAGAACATCCCACCACCTCCTCAGAAACAGCAACAGACAAGAGGTTGCGGCTTCAAAGCCCCTCATCGGCACCCTAGGCAGCCATTCTCACCGCGACGACCATCTCGCTCACAAAGAAGAGCAGCAAAGAGGCGGGAGCGTCTAGGAATCCGGCCACAACTGCTTTCCGCAATCGCCGAGGAAGACTCGGAGGAAACTCAGACCCCCAAGTCTGACACGGTACAGATCCACGTCGAACCAGACCTTTGGCGGGTGACTCAGCCTGTTCAGCGAAGCTATGGCAGCCATGTGCCCATGCTCAAACCGATGGTCAACGGTGTGAAGCGGAAGCACCATTCCATGCTTTCTATCGAGGGCCGCAAGCACACGAAGAGAATGGCAATGATGCCAGCGCATGGCCATGGGCTTACTCGCAACCCCCTGAGCCAGGTCACTGCCAACGCTGACGGGCAAGACGAGAAGGAACTCATCAAAAGGCTATCTGGTTCTTACCAGTGGTCCTGGCTTGAAGATCCCATGGACATCTGGGAGTGGGCCCAGTCCAGAGGATACACTTCCAAGTGGTCGAAGGCGCAAGTCACCGGCTTCAAGCTACTCCTCAATCTGATGAACCGCACCGCGGCTTCAGCCCTGAAAGGTGCCCAAAGCACCGGCAGGGTCTCTCGCCCCAATGCCAAGAGGTTGGGGAAAACACTGTCCGATTCTCTCAAGACTATGGGTCTCGGTAGTCTGCGGGTGGATATGCTCACGATCTCCTCCTACCGCTTCAGCCCTGTCGGACGTGACTTCCCAGCAGTCCACAGGCGCGCCGACCTTGCAGAGTTGGAAACGAAGCGCATCGACAGAGGCTGCCCGCAGTACTGGACCCACGGACAGCCAGCTGTCTCTTGTTCAGGGCAAGGCACACGACGAGATGTCGGGCAACAAGAGAGTCGGAACCCCCTTTTGGGCCATCTGGAGCAAGGATTCCAGGGCTCAGCTATCGATCGGGGGGAGGATCAAACCAGCAACCTTCTCCACGCTGCTAGTGGACAGGAGCGTCCCCTCGCTACTACCAATACACCGGACGACAACCCGCTCCGTTTCTTGCAGACCGAGAAGCAATCTGACCGGATGCAGACGGACGACGAGGAGTTTCAAAGAGACATGTCCGCTATCAAGCAACAGTTCACCCAACTGTCCGTCAAGAAATGGCAGTCTCCTCCTCTTGGAGCCACTCGGTCATGATTCTCGCCAGTGGTCTCCTACTTCCCCTCTTGCAGTTCAGCAACCCACAACATGGGCATTCTATCTCACCTCAGAGCCTATATGCTGTTCCAGCAGACGGGATCCTTCACATCCCTACCCTCCCCTCTTGCAGTTCAGCAACCCACAATATGGGCATTCTATCTCACCTCAGAGCCTATGTGCTGTTCCAGCAGACGGGACCCTCAACAACAACAACAACAACAACAACAACAACAACAACAACAACAACAACAACAACAACAACAACAACAACAACANCAGTTCAGCAACCTACAACATGGGTACTCTATCTCACGCCAGAGCCTATGTGCTGTTCCAGCAGACGGGATCCTTCACATCCTTACGCTCCCATCTTGCAGTTCAGCAACCCACTACATGGTGAATCTATCTCACATCGAAAGCCATGTGCTGTTCCAGCAGAAGGAAGCCTCAACAAATATGCTTGCCGTCAAATGTCAATAAAAACATTTCAGCGCAAAAAAACCGTCCCTTCTGATATAGTGATGTCCTACCGTGATGCTTGCTTGTGATACCTGATAATCTGTACAAGAACTTGTCGTTTTCTTACCAACTGGTAATACAGGGTACGTAAGTGCGTTTGTCAATATTACCAGCAGCCGAGAACCTGGTCGTACTGTATTATATTATCGAGATCGACAATCCAGGAACCACAGGAATGGCCTGACAGCCCCGCACTAGACCAGAGCTGGTTAATATGGTGGACAAAATTAAATGTGAATGTTGAACAGTTAAATTATGTAGAGACCTGACTGTCTCAATTTTCGACGCTCATTCGTAGCTGCCCGAGGGGGGGGGGGGGGGGGGGATGCCCCTCACCTTCTTCAATATTTCCTTCAACTTTCCTACCCTCCCAATCTGCAACCTTTTAAGATTCTGCAGACCAATATTCCAGGGATGTATACAGCCTCTTGAATCACAAAAACTCGACAATACCCATCCTTTTTTTCTATTCAGCCGAAAACCCCAAACACCGAAAACAAAAATGGCCGACAACCAGGTTTACCGCGCCAGCACCACGGCGCCAGTCAATATTGCCGTTGTCAAGTATGTTATGTCCGTGAGAAGTGTTAGACGCCCAGCATTGTATGTGACTGACTGTTTGCCTGAACAACAGGTACTGGGGAAAGCGCGACGCCAAGCTCAACCTGCCCACCAACAGCTCCATCTCCGTCACTCTATCCCAGAGTGATCTTCGCACGCTCACGACCGCCTCTTGCTCCGCTTCTTTCGAGGGCGACAGCCTGACGCTCAACGGCCAGGCCTCTGACATCTCCGGTGCCCGCACCCAGGCCTGCTTCCGCGAGCTGCGCACCAGGCGGGCCGCCATCGAGGCCGCCGACTCGAGCCTGCCGAAGCTCTCGACCCTCCCTCTCAAGATCGTCTCGGAAAACAACTTCCCCACGGCGGCGGGCCTGGCATCGTCGGCTGCTGGCTTCGCCGCCCTGGTCAGGGCCGTGGCGGACCTGTATGAGCTTCCCGACTCCCCATCGGACCTGTCGCTCATCGCCCGCCAGGGATCCGGTTCGGCCTGCCGCAGCCTGTTTGGCGGCTACGTCGCGTGGAGGATGGGCGGCAAGGCTGACGGCACGGACTCCAAGGCTGATCTGGTCGCCCCTGCGTCGCATTGGCCTGAGATGAGGGCCCTGATCCTCGTCATCAACGCCGCCAAGAAGGACGTGCCCTCGACGTCGGGTATGCAGCAGACTGTCGCTACGTCGGGCCTGTTCCGAGAGAGAATATCCAAGGTGGTCCCCGCCAACATGGTCTCCATGGAGGAGGCCATCCACACCAAGGACTTTGCCAAGTTCGCCGAGGTGACGATGCGCGAGTCCAACTCGTTCCACGCCTGCGCCGCCGACACGTACCCGCCCATATTCTACATGAACGACGCCTCCAGGGCTGCCATCCGCGCCGTCGAGGCCATCAACGCCCAGGCCGGAAAGACGATTGCCGCCTACACCTACGATGCCGGCCCCAACTGTGTCATCTACTTCCTCGAGGAGAGCTCTGCCACCGTCGTGGGCGCCTTCTCCAAGTTCCTGGCCGGTGTCTCTGGCTGGAAGGCGGGTGCCGCTGACGTCCAGTCCGCTGTCGAGATTCCCGATAACATTGCTTCCATCCTCAAGGAGGGTGTTGGCCGTATCATTCAGACTAGTGTCGGTGAGGGGCCTGAGAAGACGGATGAGTTCCTCATCGCTGCCGACGGCGAGACTGTCAAGAGGTAATGATGGTATGATATATGCGCGGAGTTTTACGATAAAGGTTAGCACTATGGGGGAAAAGCACGATAGAATACCAAACTATTAGCGGAATTGATGTTGAATATTGGAGACTTTATGATGCCTCTTAGTTTTATTCTCTATTCAATCAACAAAATGAGTATAATCTTTCTCGAGACTTTTTTTTTTTTTCTTTTTCTCTGTCACACTCGTGTGTGCGTGTGTGGTGGTTGTGACCGTGACACAAGGAATGAGGCTGGGGGACGAAGGGGCGACCAAGCTCACCTCCCCTTCCACCTCTCTTCTCCCAGCCTCACCTCTCAACTTCTCTTTCATCCCACTGTTGACCACGTCACCATCAACTCCCTTTTCACCGACGCATAAGAGAGTGACACTTGAAATTAGCCCTCCGTCAACAGAATAAAAAGTGTCTGAAATCGAAATCACATTCGGGTACTTTGCTTTCACGCTGCATAAAATGGCCGAGGCAGCTGCTACCAACAAAGACCCGGGTCAAGGCATCTCCAGCATGCTCTCCGCAGGCGACGAGGTCGAGATTTTTGAGTGCGACAAGACTGGCCACATTCAAGAAAGATGGCTGCACACGTCTGATGGGCGAATCATCCCGGTATGAACGACATTACCTTTCTCCCTGGCCCTTGGGGGGGAAAAAACCCCTTCGAATCAGCCATACTAACGCCTGTGCAGGTGCTATCTCAGAACAGGTCCGACAACATCTTGGCGCAGTCATTTCAAGACGCCCTCCAAGCCATGTTCGACTCCTTCCTACCAGTTGGATTCCCGCACTCTGTCTCGGAGGACTACCTGGCCTACCAGGTGTATGACTCGCTTCAGGCCTTCTTCTCGACCATCACGTCGCTGCTGGCCAGCCGCGCCCTGCTCGAGGGTCTGGGCGTCGGCGACGCCAACTCATCCGCCACGTTCGCCACGCTCCTGACCATCTTCAAGGACGCCATGTCCCGTGTGGCCACGATTGTCTTTGCGCACCGCTTCGGCCTGCGCATCGAACCGGATGCCAAGCGCTACCGTTTTCTGGCAGACCTGTTCAACGACACAGCTTTCTTCCTGGAGCTCTACAGTCCCTATCTCAGTCAGGGGTACAGATTTCTGGCCGTCGGCACGGCAGAGGCGCTCCGAGCACTCTGCGGGGTTGCCGCGGGCGCCAGCAAGGCTGCGCTGAGCGTGCATTTCGCCAAGCACGACAATCTTGCCGAGCTGAATGCGAAGGAGGCCAGCCAAGAGACGGCCGTGGGATTGGTCGGTCTGCTGGTGGGAACCATCGTGGTCAAGTACGTCCAGGAACGTTTCACCGTCTTGTGCCTCATGTCTGTCCTAGTGCTTGGCCACTTGTGGGTCAACTACCTGGGTGTGCGGAGCGTGCACATGACGGCGCTCAATCGCCAGCGTGCGACGATTCTGTTCCAGGAGTACCTCAAGTCTGGCAAGGTGCTGTCCCCCCGTGAGGTTGCCTACAGAGAGAGCATTCTCTTCTGGAGGGCTACCGTGTCAAACCGGGATGGGCACCAGGTTGCCCGCATCGAGTTTGCAGAGAGCTACCAGCATGCACGGACGCCTCCCAGTGGGTCGGACGGTAACTGCTTCGTTCTCGACGGGCAGAAGCACACAAAGTTCATCACCAGGCTCGCGAAAAGCGGTCTGTCTACCATCCGTATCATCATGTGGGATCGTGCTGGGCCCGCTCATGTCATCATGGCATGGTTCCTTGCCGTGGAGATTGCCTGGGTCATGGTACCAGGCGAAGGATATTCTGACAAGTTCCACGAGGCTCTGAAAAAAGATGTCAAGGACGAGGGTGAGTCACTGGCTCCTAGGAAATACCGGAACGCCGCCCTGTGGGAGAACATGCAGGCTGTGGGGTGGGATCTCGATTCCCAGGCGTTTGAGACGGGACCACCAGTGCGTATCCGCATGCAGCCCGCTGCTCGCAAGGACGAGTAGAGTCAGTCAGGAGAGACGCGGTTCCTCTTTTTTTTTTTTTTCATGAGTACTATGATGGATATGAACTGAGTTTTCCAGAGATTGAAGTATGTAATAAAAAAAAAGGGGGGGGGGGAGTCTATTATAAAAGTACAGGAAAAAAAAATACAAAATTACCATGCACCATGCCGAATTTCATCGTTACTGTACAACATCCCACTCTCCACATACATTCATACATACCTTGGTACATTGCTCCCTCTCTCTCTTTCTTTATATTCTCGTCTTCGAAAAATTCTTCTCTCCTTCGTTCTTGTTTGTTGTGCTGAGAGACTAAGCCAAGCCGGTCAGCTTCATGGCCCGCATCCTAACACCCTCCCAGGTATTCAGCTTAGGCCGAACATCAAGGTAGAAGGAAGGGCCAGGTTTCCCGTCGGCACGACCGGAGTAGAAATCGATGACATAGTCAACGCGGGTTCCGCATCGGTCAATGACCCAGTCGTGACGGTCAAAGGGAGCCGTGTATCCAAGGATTGTGTTGAGGCGAGCGGTGGGGGTCATGCGTTCCATCTTGTTGGCGAAGGATTCGAGTTTGGGGCCACCGCATCTGCAACGAAAGAAGGAGGAGAAGAAGGTCAGCATGCATGTACGGCTCAGAAGGAAATGGTAGGGGATAGGGGTAGAGAGTAAGCCGTTTCCTTTTTTTTTCCAAAAAAAAAAAATAACAAAGAAGAGGGAGAAAAAAAGAAGAGAGAGAGAACGCACTTTGACTCAGAGAGATATGGTTTCTCCCAATCGCAAATCTCCTTCCAGGCCCTCTCGTTGACAGCGTTGTGGATGGGCACGACGGTCTTCATGTCGGCCGTGTTGGCCTCGTAGCCCTTGCGCTTCATGGCCTCGAAGAACATCTTTTCAGAAGGGTAAACCCAGTTCCCCGAGTGGTCGGTGCCGGACTCGACCTCTGCGTTGGCCGAGGCACCGTGCTCCATCGGGTAGGGTGACGAGTCCGGGTTGGTATTTATGGATCGGGGGATGCTGGAGACTATGCGCTCCGTCCCCAGACCGTCGCGCACCTGCCCGGCCTCGGGGGTTTTGGGGGTAGGCGCAGTGGCCTGCGACGACCAGAAGGGGATGTAGGATGTTATCGCCTGGGTCCATGATCTCGGCCTGCTGGCGGTGTGATCTACCGGACAGACCTTTGGCGGCGACGCATGGTGATGATTAGCGGGGCGGGCTGGTGGCGATGGTGGTGGTGGTGAGGTGTTGTGGTCGACCGGACATGCGGATGATGCTGCCGCGGCGGAGGAGGCCTGCTGGGCGGCACGGGCTTGCTCGAGCCATGCTTGACGGGTGGTGTGGTCGACGGGACAGGCACCCGCGTCTTGACTTTCGGCTGTCATGCTGGAGGGGGAAGGGGGGGGTTGGGTTGGTATTATCGGGGTGTGATACAGTATTCGTTATGTCGCGAATCTAGGCGATCGGGGGACTCCAAGGCGAGAGACGGGGAAAAGGGAAAAAAAAATTGATGACCAATTACTCCGTACACATTGTGGGGTGCCGACATTCTGCCGTTGTTGTGAGCGCGGACATTACCAAGGTGGAATACTGGCGCGCATCACATCAGTTGCTACGAGTAATATTATTATTACCTGGAGTGAACAGGACGGTGATGCTAACACTGGCTAAGACGAAGGAACTACATCTTGATATTGCTAATCTAGGTTCATCGCGCCTTGATTTTCTCGGCCGATGAGTTACGTCGAATTTCACAGAAGCTCAGTTGGATACCGAGGAGCGTCTCCCTGCATATATATAACGTAGTATACAACGTCATCGGAGTGTATGAGATCATACTGTCCTCAGGATGATGTCGACGAGGGAAAAAAAACAGCGGAAAGGAAAGAGACGAAAAAAGGGTCCAACAGGTTGGAGGTTCCCTGTTCCTTCTCATAGGTATAAAGGAGGTATACGTTGACTAGAAAGTATCCCTTAATATCATCACATCATCATCGAATCTCTCCAAGTTGCAGCACAGCTTTGAAGGAGAGGAAAAAAACAGAAAAAGACTGCTGCGCTTGAGGAAGCATAACGACGACAGCAAACAAACCACAATCATGACCGACTACGAGCGCATCTCGCGACAGGCCGAGACAGACCTGAGCACACCTCAAGCCTACGGCAACAACCGCAACCCTGGAATCACCGACGCCGGGGTTGACAGCAAGGTCGAGAAGAAGTTCCCCTCAGCCAATGTCGCCACTGGCGATGAATTGAGTACCAATGCCGGCTTCAACAAGCGTATCCCACCTAGCGAGGGTGGTGAGCTGGATGACCATGGAAGGTGGGACAGTATCCCCCCTACCTTTCTTGACCGCTTGGAAAAATAATATTGACAAGCACACTCCCAATCAGGCAAACTCGTGGCGAGCATTTCGAAGGCCGAGGTGGGCCGGAGCATATCAGCAAACAGAAGCCCGGCGGCGACAACGACAACGACGTGGTGTCCGCCCGAGTTCCCCAGGTACATGGAGAGGGTAGCGTGAATGACATTGCCACCCAGGGCAAGACTGCTGCCATCCACAATGTCGGCACCAAGCCGCCTGGGCCGGGTGGACAGAAATACCCTGCCGACGACTATTACGTCCCCGAGAGCGTCCCCGACAGCATTTCTGCCGAGGGGAATGTCGCGCCCGAGAGCGTGGTGCAGGCTAGCGGTGAGGCAGAGCATCCCGACAGCTACGGACCTGTTAAGAAATGAAGGGCATCTTCTTTTCATTTCTCACCTCTTCTCTTCCTGCACCAGTAGTCCTGTTAGGCGGGAGTTTTTTTTAAAAAATTTGAAAATTTGAAAAAAAAAAAAAAAAAAAAAAGATACGTAATGGCCTGGTGGATTTACTCTGTAAAAGAAAAAAAGAGTTGATTAGATGGTTTTCATGACAATCAATGATGGTGAATGAATAATAGTAGGTGTGAAAGATAGGAAAAGAGAAATGTACATCTTGGCAGCCTCGAGCGAGTCCCCCCCCCTATGACGAAGCCTGCACGATAATAGCTTATCGGAGATGAGCCGCTCGTCACGCTGTCCCCTGCCTCTCCCAGACGCTGCCCAGGACAGCACACTCCCCCTTCCTCTTTCAAGCTCGATAGCAGAGAAACTCAAAAGTCCTCACCTACGACACCAGCCCAATGTGTCGAGTACGTCCTCTCCTACCACCAGCCGGATAGACTTACGCCACCTACCCTCTCTTTTTCTCTCCTTGCTCTCTCTCTCCAATTTCTCCCCATGCTACCTATGCCTGGGACACCATCAGCATCGTGGGCGATGTACGCTGCCCGGGCCAAGATGATTCTGCATCATCCTAACATGAGAGTCATACTTGCTTTTTGGCTTCTCGGTGTGTCTCCCTGCCCCCCAGCTCCTCCCCCTCTCCTCCCCCTCTCCACACACACACACACACACACACACACCGACCGTTCCTACGTTCTTTCTCTCCTCCCAACAATAAGGATCTTCTGCTGACGATGGGGTGCCGTTGAGTATAAACGCACAACAACAAAAAAAACAGGACTGATCAACAATGTCCTCTACGTCATCATCCTCTCGGCCGCGCAGGATCTAGTAGGCAGCCTGCCCAAAGGCATCGTGCTGCTCGCCGACGTGGTCCCCTCATTCGCGACCAAGCTCACGGCTCCATACTTCATACACCGCGTTCCGTACAAGCTGCGCGTGCTGGCGTGCATATCCCTGTCGGTTACGGGAATGCTGATGGTGGCGCTCACGCCGGCGACGGACTCGACGGCCGCCAAGATGGTGGGCGTGGTGCTGGCCAGCCTGAGCAGCGGCATCGGGGAGCTCAGCTTCCTCGGCCTGACGCACTACTACGGCCAGGCCAGCCTGGCGGGATGGGGGTCCGGCACGGGCGCCGCCGGCCTGGTGGGCGCGGGGCTGTACGTCACCCTCACCGACTGGTGGGGGCTCAGCGTCAAGGACAGCCTGCTCGTCGCGGCGACGCTGCCCGGCGCCATGTTCGTCAGCTTCTTCTTCGTCCTGCCGTGGGGTCCGCTGCGCGACGCGGGCGCCACCGCGCAGCGGCAGCACGGCTACGAGGCCGTGCCGGACGACGAGGCCATCGAGGATGGCCAGTCGCCGCTCCTAGGTGGCCGGGACCCCCGGACACCCGTTGCCCCGGCGGGCTCGCACTCGGTGCGGGCCAACCTGCGTCGCGTCAGGGCCCTCCTGGTGCCGTACATGATGCCCCTCTTCCTCGTCTTCATGGCCGAGTACGCCATCAACCAGGGCGTGGCGCCCACGCTGCTCTTCCCCGTCGACGAGTCCCCCTTTCGCGAGTACAGGGGCTTCTACCCGTTCTACGGCTTCCTGTACCAGCTCGGCGTCTTCATCTCGCGCTCCTCGACGCCCTTTGTCCGCATCCGCCACCTGTACGTGCCCTCGCTGCTGCAGGTGGCCAACTTCGTCTTCCTGATCCTGCATTCGCTCTATTTCTTCATACCGTCCGTCTACCTCGTCTTCGCCGTCATCTTCTGGGAAGGTCTCCTGGGGGGGGCAGTCTACGTCAACAGCTTTGCTGAGATGCTCGAGAAGGTGCCCGTGGAAGATCGCGAGTTCAGCTTGAGCGTAGCCACCGTGAGTGACAGTGCCGGCATCTGCATTGCCGGCCTGCTGGGCATCCCACTGGAGCCGTGGCTCTGCGCCTACCAGGTTTCGCAGGGACGGGACTGGTGCCGGAGGATCAAGGCTCAGCGGGGCTAGGGTCTCCGTCTTTTTTTTCCCCCCCTCTACACTTCTCCTGTCCCCCTGTCCCTCCTCTTCTCACGAGGGTGCATTCCTGAGCATAGGCGCTGGTGTGATGGGTATGCCGCTTTCTTTTGGTATTATTCCTGTCAGTGATCGATGTATGCTATAATTTCGTAGAATCTGACATGAAGTTATCGTGAGAGCACGCCACGATGCACCCTAGTTTTTATGGCAATACGTCGTGGACCGAGCCGGCATGGCATTCCCAGACGAGATATCACGGCATGTGTTATACGTACGTTCTCCCATGATTACTAATACGGGAACTCATGGTGCTGGGATAGTTGAAATGCTGGCACCAATTCTTGTACCAGCACGATTGTCAACAATATAAGGCTGGCGGCCGAAGTGTGGGTTGAGTCTGCCCTACGACAGGGATATTTACCGGTAACAAGGGGTAAGATGACTAGTACTACGTCGTATGAGGATGCAGCGACGTATGCTGCTGCGCCTATGGAGCTGACCCCGGGTGGGTAGGTGTCATTACGGCGTATGATCACATGTACGGAGTAGGTGAAGACAGTTCCCTACTTGTATTACACCGTCTTAACGTGAAAGGATGAGAGGATAGCTGCCACGTCGGGCTGTGGTACGTCGCAGTGCAGATGTGTGTTTCTGCACTGCAGCCAATCTGTCCGTGACTGTATCTCGGAATTCGGTATACCTACGGCCGCCCCATACTCGTATTGCTACGAGTGTCCAGCACTAGGATGTATTTGATAATACGACAAATGCGGAGTGGTAATAATAGTAATCAAGAGTACGAGACAAACAGGGGGTGTTCAATTCCTCGTAAATGGAGATCTGTAGTCATGCTTGAGACGAGAGATCAATCAGAAAAGAAGACGGAGAAGTAAAGGGATGGCGAAACGAGAGAGAGAGAGAGAGAGAGAGAGAGAGAGAGAGAGAAGGCCATTACGGCGTCGTGCTGCATGCCAAGATGACACACAAAGAGGGGGTACAGCAAATGGGAAAGGGAAGGCGGGAAATGCAGTCAGCGTCAGCGATCACGTTTCGATGCCCCCGAAGTTACGCGTAGTGACTGCCTCGTGTATATGGGTCTGGAGGGTGCTTCTGTTCTCAGCGACCTCAGAATCATCACGCTAGGTAGCAGTCGACAGATGGATGGGGGGAAGAGGGGAAGAGGCGTGAAAATGGAGAATTAGCCAATGGCCCTTCTCTTCCATCTCTTATTGCCGTCGTATTCTAGCAGTAGCACCTCTAGTAGTCAAGACGAGTAGTCGACACATGAGTAGCAGGAGCAGGGCCAGAGAAGGTCAGGCCGTGTGCGTTCGAGTGATGGGAAATACCCGGACCCTGATGCGATGCTGCGTGCGGGTAGATGCAACGCCGGAGAGATCCCTGCTGGACTACGAGAGTAATCTGTACGGATTACAGATCAATACCATCCCAGCGGCGAGGTACCTGTACTTCCCACCGTAGCTCGTAAGCATGGACCCTCCAGGATGGGGCTTCGTATCGGTTCTTGGTAGTATCAATACGGAGTACTGTGAGCAGAGAAGAAGAGCAATCGGTCCCCGCATATGTACGGAGTACAAGAGTACAGATTACTCGCACTCTCCTCCTCTCTCGTACAAGACTGTCCCGTCATCTTAGCGCGCAGCTTGGCACGTTAATCATCTCTTGGACTTGCTGGGCCTCTTCGGAGTACGAGCACTCGGTAACTTACTCGTACGCCGCAACGTTAGTGCCTGGACGTCCTGGGCTGGCCTCGCCTCGTCCCAGTAACCCCCGCTGCCAGGCGATGACGGGGGGCACTTTAGGGTCACCTCAGGTCTTCGTCGCTTCCGTTGCCCATGCGTGCGCCTGTCTCTGTGTGGTACGGAATATGGCGGCGATGCTGTATCCGTAGGATCACCATGTAGAGCCCGAATTCTGTGAAGCGCCATCATGGTCCCCACGGCTGTGCTGTGTGCTGCCTGCGCGTGGCCATCTCCTATACGGATACCTGTACGGACGGGTATGCATCCATCCAATCCGCTGTGCATAAAACTATGGCCCGTCAATCAAATGGCTGATGATGCCAAGACGTCGGATGACCATGGTTGGATAAGACTCTGGCTTTGTAGTATCGGTACATGCACTCGTACGAGTCCTGCTAGTGCCTGGTCAGCAAGCCTTTGATTCTAAGGGGGGTTTCAATCCATATTACCAGTGGTACAGATTACTGCTAGTACCGCGAGTAGGTGGTGATGGTAGTAAGAGTACGGGTAAGCTGTATTGGATGCTTATAGCAATATGGGAAATCCTCTGGTGGCCCCCTCCTCCTGGTACCGATACTTCCGCATGGTATCTCTCTCTCATTCTTCTTTCTCTTAGGGGTAAGGGGACCCTTGTTCTCGCTGTCTCTCATAGTATGAACCCGCTAACGACGTAATAAACTCTGCTATGGACTAATACCAAAAAAGCGACCGTCGGTCTATCGGTCCCCTTCTTTCCCACCTGTCCGTCTTTTCCACCCCTTTCCCTTTGCAGACTCCAATAAAACCTTCTTTTTCTTCTTTTTTTTTCCTTTTGGCATCTGCATCAAGGCGCAGCTCTTCTTTTTCTCTCCTGTTTGTGCTCGCCCTTGCCAGGTGCTATACTCTTTTTTCTTTCTTCTCTCCTTGCTACCTTTTAATCCATCGTGCCTGGTATTGCATCTCGCTCTGCTCGGTCCCGACTGCCCGTGCTATACGTCTCTGTTTTGATCCACGTCACCTTCACGTCACGGCCGCCCTCCACGAGTGCTGATCCAAGAACCCGACATACCACCCCTTCTCTCCGTCTGTTTCGCCCAACCGTCCCGTCAAGGACGCGCCGCCGTCGACATGTTCGGCGCTCAGGCTCGCTCCGGCAGGGCCACCATGCTCATCGCCGGTTCCGTCCTCTTGCTTATACTGTTCATCGGCCTAGCCTTCAACCACCTCGACTACTGGGGTTCTTCGCCGTACGTTCTTTTTTCTTCTTTTTCTTTTCCTCTGACATCTGCCTCTCGTATGATATGCGAAGGGCAAAACGCGCCGGGCCAGAAAGGCGGAAAAAAAAAGAGAGAACCGAAGGAGGGAAACAGTCGCTGACATGCTTTCTACACCCATAGCTCTAAGCCCCACGCATATCGCCCCCTCCCCAGCGAGCCCGAACCGCTGGCCGATGCCGAGCTTCGATCGTCATTCATCGACAAGGTCCTCAAGTCGAAGATCAAGGTCGATGCCGATACATACTCCCTCTACGGTGCCTTTAACTGGAAGCTCCCCGGAAAGCCCCTGTGGACTGAGCCCCTGGGTGAGAATCTCTGCATCATCGACCTCGACAACCGTCCGTTTGACAAGCCGGGCGAGATCTTTGCCGACACCCCCATGACCTGGAACAATGCTAGCGAGGTCAACGGTCTGTCTGTCGGCATCCTCAACCACTGGCTATATGGTACGTGGCAGGCGAGAAGCCTATGCTGATATATTCATTTCTGCTGGCATATATACACCCCTCACCGTCACCCCCACCCCCCTTCCTTCATGAGGCCATCGCTGAGATTTTTCTCGTCTGCTCCAGCCAAGATTCACGGCTACAGGTACTACTACATCGAGATTGAGGAGTACGAGGACCGCCGCACGTCGTGGAAGAAGCCCCCCGTCATGTCTGAGATCCTCAAGCACCACGACGCCTGCATCTACCTCGACTCGGACGCCATCTTCCACCGTCTGGACCTGCCATTCGAGTGGCTCATGAACTACTGGCAGGTGCACCCCTCTGAGAACTCGCTCGCCCTGGCCTTCGATCCCGTGGCCGACAACAACATGGACAAGTTCGGCAAGGTCTACCTCAACACGGGCTTCATCATTGCCCAGAACAACGAGAGGACCTTTGAGGTCATGAAGGCCTGGCAGCAGTGCCCCGACGACGACAGCGTCCACCCCGGGTGCAAGGACTTCCGCCTCAACCACCCGGGGCGCCCCACCGACCAGGGCGGCTTCGGCACCTACATCCGCTACGACTACGCCGAGGACATCAAGGAGCTCCCCTGCGACGAGGCCAACGGCTACCTCGAGAGCGGCTCCGGCTGCAACGGCCGCTTCATCGAGCACCTCTGGACCGGCAAGAGCACCCACATCAAGGTTGCCGTCGGCGAGCAGCTGCCCGGTGACCTCCTCGAGGTCTTCCACCGCCGCTTCACCGAGGAGAGGAATGATTATTACTTTACCGAGGCCGAGCTCTTTGCCGGCAAGGCCCACACCAAGCCAGCCGCTGCCAATATCGACGGTGACTCGAGGTGAGAAGGGTAGAGTCGGAGGTTCTGTTTTCTCTCTATCTTCCTCTTCTTCTCCGCCATCTCTCCTATTTTTTTTCTATATATACCATCTTGAAAGGAGCCACGTGTATCGAATCCACCATCTTTCTTCCTTCTTTCTTCTTTGACGGCTAATCCAGGGCATGGAGTCATTCCCGTTATTTGTACATATTATACAATAGTTCATATCTCTTTTCTTAACTCTTGGCGTCGAAAGGACGTGGGATGGGAGCGGAGGGTGTCCTGTCATCTAATCTTTTTTTTTTTTTTTTTTTGCATCTGGTCTTATCTCTTGGCACATTCAGGCAATTGCATACCTACCTATCAATGGACGAAGCAATGTTTTATGTATTCATCCATCTATTTTTCTAAATCTGCCGTGTTTTTCGATGCAAAAATCCGTCTGCAACATGAGAAATAGCACCAAGTCTAGAAAAAAAAAGGTGACAAGGGGAAAGCAGTGAATGACACGAAGACGCACACACACGCACACACACACAAAATGTTAAGCCTCCCCGTCCGCCCAGATGACAATATTAGAAGGACAATGGTCCAGACCCTTGAAGAAGTCGACTACTTCCCTATCACTATAACGCATACTGAAATGCGTAAGGACAAAGGTCGTACGCGGCCACCTCCGCACCACGGGCTCGAGGTCCTTCCAGGCAGTATGTTTCGTCTTCTGGGCCTGGGCGTAGTGCTCGTCCCGGAGGAAGCTGCACTCGGTGATGACGACGGGGATCCCCTCCCCCTCGGCGAGCCAGTCCGGCGCGGCGGCGAGCGTGGCGGCGGTGGTGTCCCCCAGGAATGCGAAGACGGGTCTGGTGAAGGGGGCGGTCATGTTGTCGGCGCCCCCAACCTCGTGCCTGATGCGCTTGATCTCGGCGGCGGGCAGGCCGACGTACTCGGCCCTGAGGCGGCGGGTGGTCGAGCTGAAGAGGTAGCCCAGGCAGGGGACGGTGTGGTCGCAGTCGAAGGCGGTGACGGTGATGCCGGCCTGGGATCCGAGGTCGACGACGGTGCCGTGGCGCACGCCGTGCATCCGGTGGCGGTGGTTGACGGCCACGCCTTCGGGGACGACGCCGCCCTTGTCGAGGCGCTTGTGCGCGACGATGTAGCCCTCCAGCACGGGCTCCACCTCGGACGGGCAGTAGACGTCCGGCGGGTCCTGGGTCTGCACGAAGGCGGGCGTCACGAGGGTGTGGTCGCTGTGGCCGTGGGTGATGAAGACGTTGCGCGGCCGGAGCTTGTTCACGCACAGCCCGGCGTCTAGAAGGACGTCCAGCTGAGGGATGACGAAGGACGTGTGCCACGCTGCGCGGGACCGGCCGGTGAGAACGAGGTTATGGTGCGGCTTGGGGAATGTATATTGCAGGATGGAGGAGCGGGTGCTCTGTACGAGAGGGGTGGCAAAGGTTGGTGCTGATGACATTTTTTGTTTGGTGCGTCTCACTTGTTATGATCTGGTTTTTTTTTTGTTGTGGTCATGAGATGTGTGTGTGTGTGTGTGTGTGTACTTTCACTTGTCGTGTCGTTGTTTTTTTCCCTGGTGACGAGAGATGTGTTTTGTCCATGGGCGTTTTCACCATGTCGTGTATTTTGGCGATGACTCAAATAGTGTGTGATGTGAAGTTTGAAGTTTTTAGGTGGGGTGAAGAAGTGTTGCTTGGTGCATGATGAAGGACAATATATATATATATATATATATATATGTGTGTGTGTGTGTGTGTGTGTGTGTATACACGTACACTTTGTGATAAGGAAAGGGCAATAGTAAAAGTCGAAACAACAACGCTACGGAGCATACATGTTTCATGGGATTTATAGTAAATCTGCGTCTGGTTCTACTTGCGACGTTTGTAGGTAGTAATATTGTTATCTAGTCGATGTACGTGGTAGCGGAGCTAGTGGTGGGTAGTCTAGTTCTGCAGCTCGACGATATCGAAATCATCATCGAGATGATACCAGACATCATGCTCATCGGTCACTCCCACGGCCAGCTTCGCACCTGGCTCCTCGTGTAATTCCAGACCTGGCAATCGCCTTGCCGCCGGGGCACGTAGGTCTCGCAGTCGTCCGCATGAGACATCTGGTGTTGCGATGGATCCCGCCGAGGTCTTCCTTCCCGGCTCCTCAGATCCTTCCAGCACCCGCATCTCCTGGCAATGGCTCTGTGTATGTGTGCTTGGCGGGTCAGCAGTCCCCTCCCGAGGTTCTCGTTCTTCCCATCAGCCTTGATGACATCGCGATACCACGGATTAGACGGGATATCGGGAGGATTGCATGGAAGCATGGAGGAAAGAAGGAGGGAGGCAGACGGAAATTCCCCGAAGCAATCGTGAAAGGTACCGGCCAGACAAGAGACGGTACCTTTTCAATATGGTCGGCGTCTACGGCAATTGCTTTCTCAGTAGCCGAGCAGAAGATGTCTGGTGTTGAAAGAGAACGTGGTCGTATTACCGTCTACCGTGTCGGCCAGGGGGGCCTCGACATCTCAATCACCATCACTTTCAAGTCGGCCGTACTGGGCTATATCTTTTAACAGTGAGGTGAGCACCGGACCTCTGGAGTGAGAGGACACACTGAGAGGCTCAGCTCACTTCGTTCGAAGCTTCCCCAATGTCCAAGGGGGAATTTCGATGTAGTAGTTATGAGTTGATGCCGGTGCTGCTTCCGTAAGGGTAAAGGAGGATATCGTGCCATGGGGAGATGGGTTTCCCGTCTGTCTCGAATCATCTGCGCCAGTCCTAGGGCACTACGTCGAGTTTCGTTTCTCTTCATCCCGGTAGAGGTATGTGACTTCATGTAGCTGCCGATGTATCCTGTCACGGATTTCGATGGAGAGAAGAGTAAAGGAACAAGGACAAGACTCACAATCATACTGCGCGCGCCACCTTTGCTATAATATGTCACGGCGCTAGGGGTCAACTGCCCGAACGACGGGAACTATAGACAGGAGGCCGGCGAGTGAAGACAGCATGTTGTACAGGTTGTAATACATGTTATAATGGCTTTACGTGGGAAGCAAACCAACTCGGAAGACAAGGGGAGGACTAGAGCAAAGACTACGAGGGCGGGAAACAATAAATGTGCATATTATCATGAACGCTCCGTAGCTGAAAAAACGAACGGACCCTTCTAGAAGGAAGAGAAGAAAGCCGATCTGATCGACGTTACAAGTTCTCATGTGGACTGCTTAGCACCCAAGGTCAAAGCTCCTTGAAGGTCGCAACTTGGCATGGACAAGGGCCCCCCCCCCACGTTCTTTGCCATCGATTCACGACTCCCGTCTTCCCACTAGCACATGTCCAACGCATATACGGAGTATACGCGCCTCGCAAGCTGGAGATGGTACGCAGATGGGAGGCATACTACTTGGAAATCATGATTTTGACCATTGAAAGAAAAAAAAGAAGACATAGAGAAGAAGAGGTCTGCAAGTAAGCCTTGGATCTCTCCACAGAATTGCATTATAACCATGCAATCATCCGTCGTATGAGGTTTTTCCGTATGAAGAGAGTGCTTATGAGGCACATTCGACACCAAACTTGTCGATCGTTTTTCTTTCCTTGCGCGGGAGGTTGTTAAGAGGAATGAGAGAACACAGAGCAGGCGGCCGACAACTCTTTCAAGTGAAGAATGGATCAAGAACAGCAAGTTCCCGAAGTAAAAGCCCCCCCCCCCCCGGCTCAAGATGTAGATCATAATCTCCGGAAAGAACTGTTGTTTTCCTTTCTTTTTTTCTTCTTCTTCGCTGTTTCCTTCGGAAGGGCAAGTGCAGTGGGGTAGCGTGTCTTCAAGACCTCGACAAGCCCTCACCCATCCACGTCTTCTGCACCTCAATCGTAGTCTTCGACGAGTCCTCCCAGCTCAGCGAGCTCCACACGTCGGGGTTCTCATCGGCGTCGACGGAGTGCTTTATGGCGAGCACCAGCTGGCCGGCCCACCTGTCGGGGGAGATCCTCCCCACCCCGGTGCCCAGCGGCGTCATGAGCAAGCTCCTGACCTCGTCGCCGCCGCTCCTCTTCCCGACGGCGCACAGCAGGCTCCAGACGCACTTGTAGACGACCTCCCTGTCCCAGCGCACATCCTCGGGCATCCGCATGGTAGGGCACAGGGCCAGCCGCCGCACCCCCCACACGTTCCGGGACTGACCCGCGGCGGCGAACTCCTCGGGCAGGTCGACCAGGGTGCACGACCCGGGAGGTGCGAACCCGCGCCACTCCACGTACAGTGCCTGCTGGGCCACCCGCGTCAGGGCCAGGTAGTCGTCCACAGGTGAGATGGCGCGTGATATGGCGTCGTCAAAGGCCCCGTCCAGCCGGCCGTACGAGTTGGCCGGTGAGACGATGGTGTCGAACTGCACCGACGCCGGCAGCTGGCTCAGAGAGCAGTGGTGGACCGTCACCTGGACGGACGGGGGGAGGCCATGTCTGGTGCGGGCGACGGAAAATGCCTCGATGAACACTTTGTCTATACAGAGGAGATGGATATGGGGGATAGGCATGGTAGGCAGAGAGAGAGAGAGGGGGGGAGGGAGGGAGGGAGTAATGGATACAACGTCTTCCTTCTTGTTTGTGTTCTGTTATGCCCTCAGTGTTCAGTGCATGGCTTTTGGAGGTGGCGGGGGAGGGGAGTATCTGTTGCTGCAAGGATACGATCTCATCACAAAGTGTCGGAGGCTGTGAGAGTTGGAGAGTGTGAGCAATTGCATCACGGTGCAGGTCCGAGTGCGACGGGTGTAAGCACTTGTGTGTCTGACTTGGCACTATTCACCATTGGCCACTTTACCACACAGGTTGACCAGAACAGGAACGATATGTCACTGGCGATATACACACTCGGCACTTTTTGCAAGTATGGAAACGCATGGATGGTTATTAAGATGGATAAGTACAAGAGGTATATAAAAGGCCAAAGAACCCATACGATCATGACTAGCTTCCCCCAGTCCTTGAGGGATTTTTTTTTTTTTTCAATCACAGAGATGCATGCTACCCAAGGCTATGTAAACTGTTTCGAGCGCTCGCTGCCAATATAGAACATACAGACGTACATAGATCGAACAACGTGAGTCTACAGCTTACTTGAGCAGCCTCCTGGAACCTCCCTCGGACCAGATCCTAGCATACCACTGGTGGAGCTCTTCGATCAAGGGCGGGGTGTTGGGCTTCTTGCCCTCGATCTTACCCTCGCTGGTGAAGAGGGCGCTCTTGAGGCCCAGCTCGACCTCGTCATGCTCCTTGTCGACCTTGGCGCTGACGACGAACAGGCCGTCGAAGCCGCGGAGGCCGGAGTTGCGGGGGGAGTCGCCGCACCGGAGGGTGATGGCATCGTTGGTCCTCTCAACCACCTCGAAGTGGTCGGCTATGCACGTGCCCTTCTCGTAGTTGCTGGTCGACAGCTGCTCCTTGGACCAGAGGTTGTGGGCCGTCTCGGGGCTGCTGTACTTGTACTCGAGGTAACGACGCTGAACCTCGAAGCCTGCGATGGTGCAATGCCTGCTAGTCAGCACGGTGTGGTAGGAGCAAGGAGATGGGAGAGACGCAGCAGAAGATGCTCAGTCGGTAGGATGACTGACCTAAGCTGGTCCAGACGCCTCGGCAGTACTCGGTCGCAAGAGCCCCGGGCTTCTCGAGGAGCTCCGGGCGCACCTTGCTCAGGGGGATACGCTTGATGCAGATGTCCTGCTGGGTAGGGTTGCGATTCGGGTTGTAGCGCTTGAAGACCTTGGAGCTCCAGATGGGATCGGTCGGGGAGAGAGGTGTGATGACCGGGTTCTTGGCCGCCAGGTAGGCGGCAAAGCTCGAGGTGCCCACGGCGCCCACCAGAGAGGTGATGAAGGCGGCTCGGATGAAACCCATCGTGAGCGAGTTAGGTCGGTGTATCTGGTTTGCGGTTCGGTTGTTGTTGTTGTTGTTGTTGCTGTCGTCGTCGTTATCGTCCCTGGCGGCGAGGATGGGAAGTGCCGGCTACGAAGACAGTGCTTCCGGAAAAGCCGCATCTTCGGTACCCACGTGACTTGCACTCAGGGGCATCGGCATGACCCCTAGTTCTTATGTAATGTATATTATATATATATATATATATAGATTCTTTCTCTTTCCATCGAATAACGCCTATCTAGACTTTAAACTAAGGAGGATATATCTGTGTACGCATCACACGTGAATTGTACGAAGGGTCACTAGGAGAGTCAGATACACACGATAGGCAAGGAAGATGCATGAATGGGGTGACTGCGTAATTATTGGTAAATAATGCATGTACTGTCTACGGTGTAATACTAGTAGCTGATTTGGTATAAATGAACTGCCGTACGCGGTGGGAAAGAATTGTGGAACCACTCCATGTGACTAATCCTGCTATCTATTCCTCGATCGCACACCTATCGCTTATCAATTACTACATTGCTGGATTTGGTCTATGGCCTGATGATATTTCCCGGCCGACTACGGAGCGAGACAAAGCACATCATGTGTTGAACCGTGGGTCTCAACTTGCAAGATCAACTTCGCTAGGATCAAAGGGGTTCGGTACACATGGACGAAACATGAGAATAGAATAGAGGAGCTTCTATCTAAATATTTGACAACATCTCGAGACAGATTCTGTGAAACCCCCATATGCATATCCTGTGTACATGTACTACGGCGTACTTAGCACCCAGCACCCGGGGCCGGCTCCAGTTTATCCGAGAGGGTCACCCGTCCCTCCGCCAAGCACCGCGGGGCACCAGTTTTTTGCCGTTAGGAGGGGCAACCGAGTGACACACATCCATCCCACCAACACCAAGCTTTCCCCTTCTTTCCCTCTCTACCTCATATCCCCCTTTCGACTTGCGACAGATAAGACGAACAGAGTCTGCCCGTCTTGTCGCCATGGGAAACATTGACATCGGTGCCCTCACCCCGGCCCTGGCCGCCGCCGACTTCAAGTCTCTCGAGCCCCTCCTCCTCGACCTCGAAAAGTACCTGACCCTGCGCACCTATGTGAGCGGATACGACTTCTCGCCCGCCGACAAGGCCCTGTGGGCCGCCATCCGCAACAACAAGGTGGCTATCGGTCTCGTCCGCAAGGGCAGCTTCTCCAGCGTCACCCGCTGGTTCAACTTTGTCGAGACTGTCCACCCCGAAGTCAAAGAGGACACGGCCAGCAGCAAGCCCAAGGCCAAGGGTGGTGCGAACTACAACATTGGTCTGCCCAACACGGAGAATGGCGTCGTCACCCGCTTCCCCCCTGAGCCTTCGTATGTCGGACTCGGTCGTCTTCTCTCCTTCTCTCCCYCCCCCCCCCCCCTCTCTCTCTCGACACCTTCACCCGTACACGCTGGCTAACACCCCAACAGAGGTTACATGCACATTGGCCACACCAAGGCCGCTCTCCTCAATGACTACTTTGCCAACGTTGCCTTTGACGGGAAGATGATCCTCCGCTTCGACGACACCAACCCGAGCAAGGAGAAGCAAGAGTACGAGGACTCCATCATCAAGGACACCGAGAGCCTCGGCGTCAAGATTGACCGCGTCACCCACACAAGCGACTACTTCCAGGAGATCTACGAGGCCGGTGAGAAGCTGATCCGCAGCGGCGGCGCCTACGCTGACGACACGGACCCCGAGGTCCAGAAGGAGGACCGCATGAACCGCAAGCCCAGCAAGTGCCGTGACCGCCCGGTTGAGGAGTCGCTGGCCATGTTCAAGGAGATGCGCGAGGGGACCGAGCTGGGCCGCAAGCACTGCATCCGCGCCCGCATCGCCTATGACTCGAGCAACGGCGCCATGCGCGACCCCATCATATACCGCTTCCCCAACTGGCAGGGCAAGGAGCCGGCCCCCCACCACCGCACCGGCTGGACCTGGAACATCTACCCCACCTACGACTTCGCCTGCCCCGTCGTCGACAGCCTCGAGGGAGTCACCCACGCCCTGCGCACCACCGAGTACGCCGAGCGCAACGAGCAGTACCACTGGTTCCTCAACGCCCTCGACATCCGCCGCGTCAACCTGTGGGAGTTTGCACGCATCAACTTCATCCGCACCTTCCTGTCCAAGCGCAAGCTCACCAAGGTGGTCGACACGGGCAAGGTCAGCGGTTGGGACGACCCCCGCATGCCCACCGTCCAGGGTATCCTGCGCCGCGGCCTGTCGGTGGCGGCCCTCCGAGAGTTCATGATCAAGCAGGGCCCCAGCCGCAACATTGTCAACATGGACTGGAGCGCCCTGTGGGCCACCAACAAGCGCCTTCTAGACCCCGTCGTTCCGCGCTACATGGCCGTTGAGAAGAAGGATGTCGTCATCGCCAACATAGTCGGCGGCCCCGAGGCCCCCTACACCGAGGACCGCCCCAAGCACCCCAAGAATCCCGAGGTCGGCACCAAGTCCGTCCGCTTCAGCAGCAAGCTCCTCCTCGACCAGGCCGACGCTGCCACCTTCGCCCAGGACGAGGAGCTCACCCTGATGAGCTGGGGCAACGCCATCGTCAAGGGTGGTCTGTCCACCGACGGCTCCCCCGTCAAGGAGCTCCAGCTCCAACTCCACCTCGAGGGAGACTTCAAGAAGACGGAGAAGAAGGTGACGTGGCTGGCCGACAACGAGGGCAAGCTCGTCGAGGCCGAGCTGTGGGACTTTGACTACCTCATCACCAAAGACTCCCTGGAGAAGGACGACGAGATCGACGACTTCCTCAACCCCAACAGCGCCTCCATGTCCCTCGCCCTGTGCGACGCCAGCGTCGGAGACCTCAAGGAGAACGACTTCCTCCAACTCGAGCGCAAGGGCTACTTCCGCGTTGACAAGGCTGCCGGTCAGGGTCCCGAGGGCAGGGCTGTCCTGTTCAAGGTACCTGTTGGAGGTAACAAATAAATCAAAGGGGAAAAAAGAAGCAAGAAACAAGAAAGAAGAAGAAAAAAAGTTTATATCAGAACGAAGGAGAAAGAAGAAAAAAGAATGGGACATGTTACGTCACGAAGTACCCGTGTTTGGAAAGCCATTCTGTCGAGAGAATGTACTGTCGAGTCAGATGAGCCTGTGTAATGGAGATGGTGAAACTCCTGTACAAGTCATGACAATGACACGAATATAGCCTTGTGTGGTGGGCATATGAATAGGCACAAGGCACAAACACATAGGAGATGGTACTGTCGTACAGTAAGACGGCCAGAATTCGTCTATACTCCTTGACCCGAAAATCAGGGAAGATTCTAATATAGATGTTTCCCCCTTTGCCACCCCCCTCAAACTGTACAGAGAAAGAATAAAGTCGATGAACATCCCCATCCTGCCAGCCCCGGCCTGTTCTCTCTCGGAAAATGGAAGTACCCATTTTTTCCGATTTCGGCGCCCACCCCCGGGGGTAGATTTGTAATCTCTCGCCCCTCCCACTTTCAGCCATTTATCATCATCGCTACCATCGATCCCAACCGCAACCAACGATCAACAACCACATAGCACAAGGACAACAACCACAACCAATACCACACGCACATATATACATATATCTGTAAAATGACACGACTACCACGTCCCTCCCGAATCCTCAGGACCGTCAAACCCCTCCGTCCTCAGGCCCCGATAATCCCGGCCATCCACCGCAGCCAGTACTCCTCCTCCTCCTTCCAGTCCCGCCCTGGACCCCCCAAGCTCCCGGCGGACCAGCAGGCCGAGTTTGAGCGTCTGCAGCGCGAGGCCTCGGTGTCGTCCGCCTTCCAGCCAGTCGTCGGCGCCGACAACGAGGCCGCCCTCAAAGCCCAGCTTCAGCAGCAGATTGACGAACTGGACGACGAGGACGCCGGCGCCAGCAGGGGCCTGTTCCGCGGCGCGAAGCCCGAGTTCGAGGGCGACACCAACCCCAAGACCGGCGAGGTGGGCGGTCCCAAGAACGAGCCGCTCCGGTGGGGTGCCGATGCCGACTGGAGCTACAATGGTCGTGTGACGGATTTCTGACCTGCCACGATTGACCGTTTGACCGGTAAGCGAAGCCGAGAGACCCTCGTCGGATCCCCAGAGTACCACGGAGTGAAGCGAGAGACAACCGGAAGAGGAAGAAGAAGGGTTGAAAATGAAAGAGAGAAGAGAAGGAAAGAAGGAGTGGAGGAGAAGCGAGTGAAGCCAACGAACGGGCTTTGAACTTTAGAGGACGATGGAGCGCAACCAGGAACAGAAATGAGCATAGCAAGAGAGAGAGCATCGAACGCCAGAAGACGATTGAGTGGGGTGAGGAACATGGGGGGGGGGGAATGTAGAATATTGTAACGCTTTAAGACATTGACAGAATCAACCCTGGTTATATAAATTTTCTTGACATCATTTCAACAATATACTTCTTACTTCGTCATGAAATATAGAAAGAATAAAGAAGAGAGAGAGAGAGAGAGAGAGAGAGAAGCGTCTATACACTATCCTTCCTTCACCGTCGACGCCTCCCCCATTTCAACATCATCCTCTGCACGTATATTCTCCTTATCCCCTTCGCTAGCAGCACGCTTCTCATCCCTCTCCCTTTCCCGGACTGCACCGTCAACAGCTACACCGGCAACGGAAGCACCGCTATTGGGAATGGTGTGAGCGGTAGCAGCAGCAGCACCGTCGGTGGCAGGAGAAGCAGTCACGACGTCTTTACGTCGCCAGTTCCCCAGAGACGAAGCATTGTTATTGTTGTTGTTGTTGTTGTTGATGGTGGTGGTATCAGAGGACGTGAGGGCAACAGGAAGGGCGACGGAGTTGTGCGCGGCGCTGATGCGTACCTCGCGCATGGCCTTGCGCATGCGCTCCCGCCTAGCCTTGCCGCGCAGCCTGGCCTGCGGCTGTGCGCCGTTCTCGACCCACCGGATGCCCTGGATGGTGTAGCTGAGGCCGTCATGGCCAGAGTGGCGCGTGCCGCAGTAGTCCGTCGCGCTGCCGAACTCGCGGCTCGTGATGCCGAAGCGCGTCGTAGAGCCGTAGCGCGCCAGGCGAGGCAGCACCACCACGTTGACGTGAAGGTCGCGGTCCGGCGGGATGCTCATCGGGCCCGAGACGGGTGGCGACGTGATGAGCTGCTCCGACTGCGCGGCCGTCGAGATGGCATCTGCTGCCGCCGCCGCCGCCGCCGCCGCCGCCGCCGTGCGCGCCTTGCTCCGCACCGGCTGCTGCTGTTGCTTCTCCTCGTCGGATCCCAGATCCAGCATCGAGACATCCACGTCGTCATTCCACTCACCGCGGATCCACCCACCGTGGATGCACGCCGCCACCACATCCGAGTCGTCCGTGTACACGTCTGTGCCCCACAGGAAGCCGCGCGCCGTGATCTCCTCCCGCGACGCGGCCGACAGATGCACCCGCGGTACCTTGACTGTCAGCACGCAGTTGATCTTGTCGCGGATCACGTCCCACGGCAGCGGCTTCGGGTTCGACGAGAAGCCGCGGTGGATAGGTGTTGTCGGGAGCAGCCGCTGCGGCTTGAGCACCGCCTCGTAGATGAAGTCGCCTAGGTGCTGACGCTTGTGCTTGGCCGCAGCCTCTCGCACCTCCTTGGAGATGATGGTCGTCTTCGTCCTGGGCGGGATCTGCGGCGCTGCTGGCTCCTGGGGCTGCTGCTGCTGCTGCTGTTGCTGCTTGGGTGCCTGAGCTGCCGTTCCCGTCCGGCCCGCGTGGTGATGGTGGTGGTGGTGGTGATGGTGATAGTGCGGGACGGGCGCACCGGTCGCGGCGCCGAACGCCTTCTCCGCTGCCGAGGGTGGTGAGGCTGCGACTGCGGCGGCGCCTGGCTTAGTTGTGGTGTTGCGGAAGGGTGCGTTGTTCTGGGAGGCTGTCGCCTCGTCTGCACGATGGTGGTGGTGGTGGTGGTGGCTGCGATGGTTAGCTGAGAGGTCCCCACCGGGCGGGCGACTCGGTTGGACGTACTGATGGTGGTGCGGGTGTGCCTTGGTGCGCTTAGCCTTGGGTCCGGGCGTGAGCCTTCCGGTGCTGTCGTCGTCGGCGCGCGGCTCCTCGTCCTTGACCTTTCTTCTCCTTCCCCTCCCAGGTCCCTTGACGGGCACGTCGGTCCCCGAGTCAGGGCCCTCGGCGTCCTCGCGCCTGACGAGCGCGGCGCTGGTGTACGGGCCCTGCTGCGGCTGCTGCGACTGCTGAGGCTGCTGCGACTGCTGCGACTGCTGCGACTGCTGCGACGCCCCCGCCATGGAGCTGGGGATGCCCATGTTACCCACGCCGCTGCCGATGCCAGAGAACATGCGACCGAACTCGCTCTTGATTCCAGGCTCAGCCGCGGGTCCAGGCTGCTGTGGCTGGGCGCCCTGGACGGCCTGGGGCAGCGGCGACAGGCGTCCCTTACGGTTCTCGTGCTGGACTGCTAACAGGTTGCGCTGGGGACCGAGGCCGCCGGGGCCGCCTGCCTGGTCGTTGCCGTTCCTGTGGCGCGGGGCGTCAAAGGCGACACCGGTGTTGAATGGGGCTGACGAGGGGTGCTGCTGCGCCGAAGGAGCTTTCTCGGGCAGCCTGGACCGCGGTGCGTGGTGCGGCGGGGGCTGGTGCTGGGGGTGCAGCATGTTGAGACGCGCGCGGTCGGGCGAGTCGTACGGCTGGGGCTGGTGCTGGGACGGTCCGGGAGCGGGAGGCCCTGACTGCTGCTGCGGCGGCGGTGGCGGTCGCGAGGCTCCCTGGGTATATCTGTCGGGAGAGCCCTGCTGCTGGTAAGGCGGGCCAGCCTGAGGCGGAGGATACGGTTGGGGGGTGGGGTAATCGTGGGGCTGGCGATGCTGCTGGTCCATCGGGGCGCGGAAGCTGTTGTCCTGAGGCGCGCGTCCCCAGTCGGCGTCGCGTCGGTAGGACTGCTGCTGCTGCTGCTGCTGCTGTTGAGGCGGCGGAGGCTGCTGCTGCTGCTGCTGTTGCGGTTGCTGTTGCGGTGGCGGTGGCGGTTGCGGTTGCGGTTGTTGCGGCTGTGGCTGGGTCCGAGGCAGCTCGTGACGGCCCAGGTCGTAGGGGCGAGGAGGAGGGTGGCCGCCCGAGTAGGCGCGCTCCCTTCTCTCGTAGTCCCTTCTCTCCTGCTCGCGCTGCTGCTGCTCCATCTCGGCGTGGCGCTCGCGCTCGGCCCGGTAGCGGTCGTCGTAGTACGAGGGTCGGAGGCCGGTCCTGTCATGGTTGAGCTCGTCGCGGCGCGGCGCGAACCGCGCATCGTCCTGGGGGGGCGGTCCACGACCGTGATCTGCCAGGGGGGGGGGTGGCGGGCCGGGGTAAGCGGCAGCCTTGGGCTGGCTGCTCGGTCTAGGAGGCTGCGCAGATGCCATGGACATGCGCGACGGGTCCCTGGACGGGTCGGCCGAGGCAGACACATGGCGGGCATGGTATGGAGCATGGGGGGTGGGGTAGCGAGGCACGTCGGACGTGGCGGCGTACGACGGAGGGCCGCCTCGCGGCGAGGGTACGGCGCTGCCGCGGTGGTGGTCAAAGGGTCGTGCGTGGTCGGGAGGTGTCTGGGGTCGACGGAAGGGTGAGAAGTCGGCCGAGGCAGAGTGCATGCGAGGCGAGGCGTGGGCGGGCGCGTAGCTGGGAGGTACGCCTGCCGAGCCAGAGACGGCGGCGGCAGGGTATGCTGTCGGCAGCTGCTCGCGGCTCGCAGGAGGTGCCGAAGACGAGGACGAGGATAGCGGCCCGCCTAGCATGGCGGATATGGACATGGACCCCCCGATGGGGCCCGGGCGGGAGACGGACGTGAGCGCAGGCAGCTCGCGGCCGCCGGCAAAGGACGAAGGGAGTCCGACGGACAGGGACGGTGCCCGGGGCGGTGGCTGCGCAGGGCCGTACGGGGTCATGGAAGGGTGCGGCGCATGGTGTTGAGGATTTTCCGGTCCCGGTTGGGAGGGCGAGTTCGAGGGCGGCGCCATTTAACACTGTGCTGCTGTCGTTCGACGCCGTGGTGTGGTCGCGTGTACTGGTTTGTAGTAGTTATGTGAGAGCACAGGAGCGCGAGAGGAAGAATGGAAAAAAAAAATGATGAATAATATGGACAAAAAATGACGACAAGAAGCTGCGATGATCAACAAGGTGTCATCAGGACTGTTTTAGTCTCTGCTCCGGTCGGCGGTTAGTCGGTCTGTCGCGTCGACGAAACGGGTGGCTTCCGGGGGAAGGCGGTGGCCAGGAACATGCGACGCAAAAACGTGCGAGTTTGATGAAGACGATGACGGTGATAATGGTGGATAGATGGGGAGAGGGAGTTCTAGGAAATCAGAGAGAGGGAGAGGAAGGGACGAGACCGGGGGGGAAAAAAGCAGACGGACGGTTTTTTTCTTCCTGCCGGGTTCGCGTTAGTAGGGCCAAAACAGCCGAACTCACTGGTAAAGCTGGGGATCGGCCATTTTCAGGCAGCTGGGGGGGGGGGGGGAGAAAGAGGGTAGAGTTGCAAAAGTGGAGAAGGGGACCGCAAGTAAATGGAGCCTGGAAATTCCGGCAGCACAAACAAGACAAAAGACAGAAAAAGAGGTAGTCGATGTACGAGGCTTGCATATAACGGGGCGCTGACTCTACTGATTTGTGTTACTTGCATATATGATATGCAAAGGAAGCACGGGCCGGAACGAAAATCTCCACAGTACTACGGAGTATATGCACTAAGGAGTACAGATAGTAGTCTTAGTATATCAATCAGCTAACGACGTGCAGAGTAAAGCATCTGACACTAGCAAACTCGCTATGACTTTTGTCAAGAAACGAAAGAGCAAGGGTTTTTTTTTTTTCGTCTTTTTTTTGGGGGAAAAAAAGAAAAAAAAAAAAGAAGAGAAGAGAAAAAAATCATTTCTCTCTTCTAGTTGCTTGATAATAGCTTCTTGGCTATGTGTCGTAGTTCGTCCTAGTTCGTGTCATTTCAGCAATGACGACATCTACAGCGTTAGAAACGGTGTCAGCCACATAGACACGCACATTGAACCCTGACGTCTCAGGATCGAAGCCCCAGGTAACGGCCAGGTACGGCCAGGCACAGGCACACCTCCATGTACCTACCCTGCAAACTTGTTTCTATGTTTCCTGCTGGCGACGACACGCGATGACCCCGTGGACGCGAACACGGTGGTCTCTACCTACTGGTACGTCCCGGCTCGGTGAATGTGTGCCCGACTGCTTAATCGTTCCGGAGGGAGGAAATCTATCTCTGAGACTATCTATACATGCATGTCGGTGTGGCAGCAGCCTCTGACTGCTCGTAGCCGTGCCTTCTCGGTTGCCACATTCCCATGCACGCACTTGGTGGCATCGCAGTGCTACCAGCAGGATTATTGCTCCGTATAGATACGAGTACGTGCGGTGCCACGGTACACTCTCGGGTCTTTCCCGGGTGAATATTCTAGAGCCTCAATCCTCTTCACCGCTGCAAGCTGCGTCTCTGGGTCGGTGAGGGAAACAAGTCGATACAACGCCTTGCTCCACTAGAGCACAGGAGGATATCTCTCCTGCCTCGGACAGTTTGCCGTCACTGCTGCATACGAGAGTCGATGTAGAGTACTTGCAGAAAAAGCCTCTCTCACCGCATCATTGCTCTCCCTGAGCTATCAGCAGTAGCTGCCGGAAAGTACATGTGCATGCTGGTTCCCCGCATGTGCGTACACCCACCCCTCTCAACCTCCGTGCCGTCTCCGCCGTCTTGATCGTCCGGAGCTCTCCGTTCCACGGGCCCCGGCTCCGTCCTCCGCCATCGCTGGCTTGGCACCGGGGAGGGTGTATCTGCGTATTCCTTCGCACGCTCATGTGCTGGCGTGAGCACATCCCTGCCGAGACGGTCGGCATCGTCAGCAGCACCCGAAAGGGAAGCAATCCTCCGCATCAGCCGCTGTGCCCTCCGATAACGTCTTCGAGATCGTCGACGTCTTTCACGACAACGCGCACGGCTATTTCCTGCCCTGCTGCCCGCAGCTTGCCACGATAGCCCTGAGCGATGGCACCTCTGCGGGATGTTGAAGAGCAGCCTCTAGGCAGAGCTCCCGGAGATTGGGGAGATCAGGGCTCAACGGGCCCACGCTTCGCCATCTGACGGAAGCGACGGCTTCCCAGCTCTACACCTACACTCTGCGAGGCCAGAAGCCTGAGCACCTGGAGGCAGAGGTCGGGACCCATGGCCATGGTAGCTTTTTGGAGTGCACCCCTCCCCCCCGGAGCGAGCCGCGAGTCTGTGCCGAATGATCTGTCGGAGGGAGACCATGTCGGCACAGAGAGGCATAGCAATATGCATCTGATCTGGAGGGAAACCACGGTGGGAATCTCTCCAGTACTCTGCGTATTGGCTGCCTGCGTCGTCACAGATAGTCCGAGGTGGCTTGTTGCCGACTCGCAGCCTCCTCTCCAGCTCATCATCTGAACAGACGATGCGTCCGGGACCAGATAGAAGAAGCACTGGTCCCGCGCCGTTGTATGCCTCGAAACGATAGTTTGACCGCGGCTTCGGTCGTCGTGTTGGGGAGGAGGAAACCTTCAGCATCCCTCGTCATCTGGGCATGTCGATCTGCGTCGAGCGCGGGAGGACGGCTGATCCAGAATGTCGTTCAACGCACACAGTTCACCCTGTCAGGGTGTCTCTTCTTCCTCTCTCTCTCTTCTTCCAATTGCGGTAAACGTGACGATGATATCATCTGAGCCTGGCAGTGATAGCGCCCGTCCCAGCAACGCCTTAGGCACAGTCGACGTTATGGGCCTCGCAATATGCACACGATGAGGGGAGGGCATTAGATGAAGTGAAAGACCGGAGACCAATGATGGGAGGCATCTTCTCCACGTCAGCGCAGCAGGGAGAATATACTCACTTCCCTCTCCTTCTTCCCTCCCCTAAAAATATTCGTGACGTGACCACTCTCCCTTCCCCTCCTTCCTGCCACAAGGGTATCCATGACGTCGATGACCGTAACGACCTCTCTCCCATGGAAGGAGACTCTGCTCTCGCTGCCCTCGTGACAAGAGGGGGGAGGGGTGGGGGGCGAACGCAAGACGATTACATTTCACCCCTTCGTCGAGGGTTTGGTGACGTTGCGACCACAAAACACATATGCAATCACCGATAAGTACAGACCGTTGACGTGATATTTTTGGATAGCGAGCCCTGTATTCTATCGTTCACAACGTAGCTTACCCTCGGTCCTCTCTCACCCTCACACGAGAGGGCAGGGGGGAGGGGGGGGGTGTATGGGGTGGTTGGTACTACCATGTTATATCCGGCACATGTCCGACCCATCTACAGACTAAAACCGCTGACCTGTTGAACGGGATTACCGGACTGGTGCATTCCTCCGAGGTTTCGCAATGGCTGCAGTGGAAAATTGACGTATCGGTGGCAGATTGCGTTCATGTCAGTGGTGTGCGGCGGTATCATGCTGCTGTTGCAGACTCCCAACACTGACATCCATCTTCTTGCTCCGTTCCTGATAGGATGGATGGTATTGAGAAAGGACTGGAATGCAGTACGCTCGTAGATTCTCATGAGAGCCTGACGCCTTTGCAGAGGAGGGTGTGGATGGATGAAAAGATAGATGAAGACGGTATCTGAGATTGAAATCCCTCTCTCCCCCGCTTCTCCCTCCGAATTCGTACGGAATGCGATGTGAGGGGGGGATGAGGCCAGACAATGATACAGCACAATCTTGACTGAACCAACAATGATTCTTCTTCTCGTGTAGCCATCCAGATCAGGATATGCCAAGCGCACACTGCCCACACGGGCCTTCTCAACTTCGGCTCAACCGCTGAAGCCGGATATGTCAACCAGACTGTCGGGACGAGCCCAGGAGGGGGGGGGGGAGATGCGGCACGCGGCGGGGAATAGTACGGAGTCAAAGCCTGGCACACATGGGATGGAACCGCAAAGTATCAGGCATCACTCGGGGGTTGCTGCATTTTTGATATTTTAATATTTTTCTGCAATATCTTGATATTCTACATCTTGATTTTCTTCCTTCTCCCAGCTGGAGTGGTGGTGTGATGGTAGATGTATGTACAGATTATGCTGTGTCGTATTGTGAGGACGCAATAACCGGCATTACCTGGTGATGTAGAAAGCATCGGCTCTGGCTGGCTGTAGCAATACTCTGTACATGCGCACGCACCTTGGTCGGTAGGAAAGTGACGATGTACAGATGACGGCTGTCCGCGTCTCCTTCTTTCCTCTACTCTGTATACGTATATGTACATGGATTCTACATCCGGCATGGGGTTCAGGAGTGTCAACCGAGAGGGATGGGAGAGAGGAGACGGAGGTCACATGTCTCAACGTGCCTGCGGGTGTTGGCCTCGTTTCGTGACTCTGTAAAAAAAAAAAAACATGTCATACACCACGTCAGGTGCCAACCGAGTTCGAATGATAGTGCCGCGGTACGAGTATCAGGTGGTGATGAGTTATACAAGTCATAACAGTATCATTACCCCGGTTTCTGTCGGTGTAACGGTGTAATCTCAAGGGCTCTCTCGTACCTCGGAGTCATATGGTCCGCATATATCTTCCCGTACCTATACGGCGTACGAGACTTTGGATGAAATGTGACAGCAGTCGCGGCACGCGAGTAATACATTTCTACAATACCCCTGATAAGCTGACTCCTTCTTTTTTTTCTTTTCCTTTCTCTCTCCCCACTTCCTTCTCTTCATTCTCGGACCCCTCAATACAACTTGAGGGGGGGGGGGGGGGGGGGGGGGGGGGGGGGGGGCTCATGCGCTTGTGTGTGTGTGTGTATGTGTGTGTGCGTGTGCGTCATTGGAGGTTGCCGCCGGTTAAATTGAACCGCTCGGCGAAAAGAACGGATCGTCTCATGGTGATGTGATGTCTAGCCAACTACATATACAGGTACACGTAGCATGGAATAAGACCGGGGGAGGGGGCGGGGAGGGAGAGTCTCGGTGAAGGAGAGGGAGGGAGTGTCGAGGCGCACGACCTGAGTCAGGTTGATGGCCGTAAAAGAGGTGATTGACGTATACGTATCATCTATCATAACAGAGCTGTTGCTTCTGTTGTGGAACTGAGACTGAGTATGAATATAATATTATACCACATACCACGAGCATGGGCGGAGCATTTTGGAGAGAAATCATCCCGACATGGCTGTAGACACATGCTCTCTCGCAGTAGGATCGAAGAGGAAGAGACGTAATATCATAAATGTACGGGTTAATATCACTCACCCCATACGAGTAGCCTCTAGTCGTACACGCATATCGATGACATGCTGGATTCATCTATGGTAGCAAATTCCATCCCACCTGGGACAAGATAACCGTGGCACATGTCAAGCACTCTATAGATTGCAACGCCTCTGACCCAATACAAGTACAAAGTATGAATATATATATATATATATATGTGTGTGTGTGTGTGTGTGTGTGTGTATATATATATATGTGTGTGTGTGTGTGTGTGTATTCATTCATCTATGTCGTATTCCTCGTACATGTATGGTATATTACTTGTACGAGCAGTTTGGAGTTCCCCCCTGCGGACCATGTACCATGCAATAATATGTATGCTATAGGATGCTCATTCGGATACTGCCACCACGTTCCCAACCTATATTGAAACGTTGTCGTTATGTATGAAGACGGGCAAGAAGAAGAAGAAGGGGAGGAGGAGGAGGAAGAAGATGTAGATGTAGGATAAGATAGGAAAAGGATGAGTGTACGTAGAAGGAGGCCAAGGATATTGCTTGGTGGAATATCACTATGCGACCCGACCCAACCCAACCCCACGTGCATTGGTGATGACGCAAGTGACTCGGAGTTTCTGAATCCTCACCGGACATGGTGCATGCGAAGAGAGATTCAACCGAAAGCGGCAGGTGGTCGCTTGTTGACGTTTTCTGTCCCTGTCAGAAGTAATAAGTAATACTAATATTACTCGCTACCAGCAGTACTTGGGTACGAGTTATGGGTGATGCATGCATGCACGTTGGGCACACACACAATCTCGTTCCTTTTGAGCCAACGTTGCAATGAATATCAGGTCGTGCATATACATGTACATGCATACATACGGGTACATGTACACACATACATGCATACACACATATACAGACACATATACACACTTACACACACACACACATGCACATGCCTCGAGAATCCTACGACATTACGTCTTCCCGCCCCCCCGACCATAAAGAGCAGTGAGAGGAAAAGAAACGGATTTTGTGCCGCAAGCTTGCATACGATTGACCACATGTGCATGTAGCAACAGACTAATCCCGGGAGACTGCATGGCCAAAAGCGACGATTGAGTGATTGAAGCCACATGAGATGATACCAAATTCTCTGTACACCGTAAACTGCTATTTCTTATCCCCCCCCCCCCCCTCTTCTCTTCTCTCTGTCTTATAGCCTACAGATGACCTTGTCTTTTCTTCTTCTTCTTCTTCTTCTTCGTCTTTCCTTGTACCGTGAAACGGAAAAGTAGTGTGACCACAGAGTACCTTGAAATACGAAGAGAGAAGAGACCAATCGCATCTAGTTGCGTGGTGTCTGGTGGCACATATCAGATAGTAGACCAACAACCGGAGATGTAGATTCGTGGGGTGGGGTGGGGGGGGGCGGGGGAGGAGGGAGAGAGAGATCAACAAGAGACACTTTGTAACGCACGAGTGGTACACCATGACTCGAAAGCAGGATTATTCAAGGGATAGACTGTGAGCAATAATAAGAACCGTGGGGTATGATGATATTTTCTTCTAAGAATCTAAAACAGGACGAGAGAGAGGGGTTTTTGTCTGACCCAGGCAGAATACTACCAAGACAATAGAAAAAGAAAAAAAGAAAAAAGGAAAGAAGAAGAAAAAAACGCCAAACGGGAGAGAAACGCTATCCGGAAGAAGGAAAGAATGGAAAAAAAGAAAAAAAAAGGATGACGGCTAAGAAGGACGTTATAACGGCAGAAGAATGAAGCCGAGCAAAAAGGAAGGAGAAAAAGAAAGGAAGACGAAAGATGCCGTGTCTGTTTCCTCCCCCTCCCCTTTTCGCACCTCGGTTAAGTGTAGAGGAGGAAAGGTCGACTCGGTTGAAGAAGAGAAGAGGAGAGAGAGAGAGAGAGAGAGAGAATAAAAAGGAAATTTTCTTTCCCCCCTTCATTCAGTGTTGTCTGCTTCCGTGCATATGATTTCCACAAAGAGTCCAATCTTTTTCAGCTGTCCTTCCATCCTGGCGTGTATATATGGGGAGAGGAGATATTCCAGATCCTGCTGAAGACGCCATATCCGACCCGCGCGCGAGAAAACAAGGGAGGAGAAGAAGAGGGGAGGGGAAAGAGGAAAGTTATGGACAGGAGAGAGGGTTTGGGAAGTGGGAAATCCTGTTTTCCTTCCTTCCTCTTCTTTCCTTTCTTCTTCTTCCCTTGTTGTGCCGTGTGTGTGTGTCGTTGTGGGACGGTCTGGTTCATGATGGTTGCCGTTGGTGTTGGTGACGAAGGACTGCCGCCCCCACCCTCAATTGACGGTCACAGAGCCGAGACGGGATGAGAATGTGTTGCCGGGGCGTAGGATTGAGAGGCACGACGGTAGCTTGGCAGACGATCATGGTTGGGTGCTGCTGGTCGCTTGATGAGCTTGGCCCAAGGGTGATTACTCGGTTGACGTCGTTCACGGCAGGCGGCTGTTGTCGTCTCTGTCAGTACTGTTCGTGTTGTCTTTTCTTTTTTTTTCCCGCGCGCGCGCGCGCGTGTGTGTGTGTGTGTGCATCTTCGTTTTCACGTCCCTTCCCTTCACTTGGAATTCTGCCTAGGAAAGGGAAAGAGAGAAGGAGCAGGGATAAGAGAAAGAAGAGAAAGAAAAAAGGACATACCACATATGTCGTCACCCCTGCGAGTATCGTGTTAGTTACGAGAGTCCGATCCGACAATTTGACGACGCAACAGTGACATACCAGTATTGCTTGCTGACTATGGTAGGAGGGCACCGTTTCTGAGTCTCGATGTACTTGGGACACCACGACTCGACGAGGTGGTAGTGATGCTGGCAGCTCAGCTCCTTCTTTGGGGATGCGTCAGCGTTCTGGGATAGCGAGAGCACGACTGTCCATCTCTCGGGATGAGATGGGGAGAGGGGTAACACAAACGTAGATGTAATTGCACATGGTCTGTCGAGGGGGAGAGAGAGAGAGGCTTGGGCTAGGTATATAAGTTGGAGACGTCGATTGAGTTGGTTTTTTTTTTTGTGTGTGTGGTGTGTGGGAAAGCAGTCGTGTAGTCTGGCTAATGCCGGTCAAGTTGGACTATCATATGCCTTTCGGTAGGAAGAGCAAGGCTGTGTTCGTATCGTACGTACGATACCTGTGTTGTGTAAATAGATAAAAGAGCAGAGCCTCATTCATACAAGAAGGAAGATCGTACATATATATATATATATATATCTGTATATATGTATATACGTATATACGTATATATGTATATATATATATATATATATAAATAAAAAGAGGTGGGGGAGAGGATAATTGAGGAGAGAGAGGGAGAGGGAGAGGGAAAGAGGGAAACAGAGAGGATCCTCTCCCCCCCTCCCCCCATTCAAGGGTTGACGTCTGTATTTATTATTTATTCCCAAGGAAACCCAGGACGACAAAGACAAGACGACGGGACCCGACGAGTTTCCTTCAGGCGGGGCGACACCAAGATGTGACTGGGGTTGAAGGGGGGTGTGTGTATGTGGGGGGGTGGGGGGGGGAAGGAATTAAAATGTGTAAATTTTCAATGATTAAAAAAGAAATAGAGAGAGAGAGAGAGAAATAGAGAGAATGCAGAGACGGAAACTAAAAAAACTAAAAAGAAAAGAAAAAGTATATCACAGACGACGAGTACTAGCAGCTGAACCAGGGGGGAGGGGTGGAAAGAGGCAGGGAGAGAGAGAGAGAGAGAGAGAGAGAGAGAGAGAGGAAGGAGGGACATGGACATGGGCAGGGCATGGGCAGGACATGGGCACATGGGGACATGGGGGGGGGAGGAGGAGGAGGAGGAGGAGGAGGGAGAGGGGCGTACCACATTCTCGGTCAAAATGTTGTGCTAGTTTAAAAGTCGTTCTACACACAGACTCATGGACTCACCGTGCTTCTCAATAACAGGGTTTTTCCATGGGGCTGGATAAAGTGTTAGTCTGTAAGAGAGTTTATATATATATATATATATTTACATGTATGATTATTATTATAAATAACGAAAATTATATAAAAAAGAGGGTAGAAAAATAAAGGATATAAGGGGGGGAGGGGGGGAACGATCAAGAGACGGAGATGCACGCCCCCTCCACCTCCACTCGAGTCTTGGAGGAGGGTCCTTGGATGCCCGATTGGGGCCTGGCCATGTAGAGAGAGAGAAAGAGAGTCAACTCTTGGTCAATTCATTCATACTCCTTTCAGCATCATTACTTGTTGGTATTACTAGTAAGACAGACAGAGACAGACAGACAGATAGAAGGGGGGGAGAGGGAGAGAGAGGGAGAGAGAGAGGGAAGGAAAGAAGGATAGGAATGAAAGAGAAAGCAGGAAGAAGAAGAAAGGAAAAAGGTCGGGAACTTGTAGGTACTCGCTCGGGTTTGTTTTTTGTTGTTGTTGTTGTTGTTGTTGTTGTTTTTTTGGCTGGTGACGGGTTCATCACAACTCGTAGCTCTCTTTGTATGTACATCGGACGACTACAGCAACGACGACGACGACGACGACGACGACTACGACGACGACGGCGACGGCGACGCAGGTGAATACTCCGTACATGATAATCTGTATAGGCCGTAACACCACAATGGGGGGGGGGGGGTACTCGCAGCAGCGTCTGTCCGTGACCTCGTACATGTACTCGTAGGATCCCACGTCGACGCAACCTCCCGCTCCTCCCCCGATGAGGGCAAATCGACGACTCACGTACGACGTCGTTTGATCTGAGGCTTCTAGGCTGAGCTGGTACCGCCAAAAAGCATTTGCGAGTTCGAACTAGCACGTCTTCGTTCCGGCTCCCCCGCCACGGCCCGCTTTTCACTCCTCTTGCTCGCTCTCTCTCTCTCTCTCTCTCTCTCTCTCTCTCTCTCTCTCTCTCATTTTTTTCTTCCTCCTCTTCTTTCTTCTCTTCTTTCAATTATATCTGATATTTCCCGCCTAAGACCAACTCTCCATGTATAGATATGACGATGGTCGTGCTCCCAACTTGCATATATGTATATAGATATATATATATATATATATATACAATATGCAATACATACATGTATACTGCACTCTAGATCATGTCAACTACAGGTCCACTGTATCAAATGACGATGCATCGTCACCTTGTCGAGGACCTTTGGCATATGAATGCCGGTAACATATCGTATATCTGAGATGACGCCAAACTGCAAGAGCCAGTCTCGTCGTGCTGTCACTCGCATTCCTCGACCGGGTTCGAGCGCTTACACTACGAGTACGAGTAATATACCCTGGTGCCTGCAACTCCGGTTGTTGTAGATACATGTCTGGACGGGTACTGTCTACTGCTCGGTACTCTCTGGTACCCTGCCGCATCGCTAGACTGCTACTGTTCGTGATACTCGTACTACCCTCGAGGATCCGCGATACAGGCTGCGAGCTGTCGGTACCTACTACCACCATAGTAGTAGTACTGTGTGGCATCATACGGGCACGGGCACGGGCTTGCTGGTATCGTCGCCAGTACGTAGCAGGACGGATGATGTGACGGTGTACCGGCCATCAAGACGCATCAGCGCACACCGCATCGACGCCGACGGCATGCTGCCCATCATGGCCTATAGGCTATATGTTAGGCTATAATACCCATAATCTCCCTTCAGAAGCTCAGGGTAGGGAATGCCCAGATGCTGCCGCCCACTCGCACATGCTCGCTGCCTGCATGGGTAGGTGGCAGAGCCCACTATTGCCATCATCCCATCATCCTCCTACGCACGGAGTATCATGGAGACGAGAGGCCGTGGCTCGTACTCTTCCCTATCCGTGCGTATGTACTCGTACGTCGTATGCACGTGGTCCGTCATGTCCGTCATATGTGTTACACAGGGGTAGGCCAGGATTTCAATGCTTAGCATGGAATCTGATATAGGCTGGCTATCTACTACGGTCTATCATTTATCATGCAACTCTCTTCTCTCCCTCTCCCTCTCCCTCTCTTCTTCTTCTTCTTCTTCTTCTTTTCTTATCCATCTATTCGACGATGTACAGTTTATTATTATTTATAACAGTATTTTATTTCATTTTATTATTTCATTTATCCTTCATCTATCTCTCTTGGGCGGACAGAGGAAAGGACAGCGAGGCGCACACGTGAGAGTCCGAGAGGTATACACACACGCTCCCTCGCTCTCTATCCCACTCACACGTACAGAGTAGAATACAGGACGAGACGCAGCTGACGCCATTCGGCGGTATCCCACCCAGTGGTCTGACAAATCGTGCCGGCCTTCCCCATTCAAGTAGCCGGTGAGTATTACGAGTCTGCACTTTTGCACCTTTTTGGGGGGGGGGGGGGGGGGGGACAGCCATCATTTCCTGTTTCTCTCTTTTTTTTTTAAAAAAAATTAGGTTTTTTTTCTTCCTTCATTTCTGCCTATTTTTTTTTTTCGTCTTCGTCTTTTGCCTTGTCTGACATGTCTATTTCAGAGGCAATCTCTGTCATGAAGACCAATACCAGGCCACGATGGGCCTATACCTATATACGAGAGTAGAATAGCAAGATAGCAGCAGCATACCCGCTGCGTAATCGAGCCGGCATGCGATACAGTCGTCGCAGCTGTACGCGTCTCGGTCGGGCATTCCAGCATTCGGGGTGCGCCGGGACGGTTGTGTGTGTGCTGCTGCTGCTATTGTGATCTGTACAGTACGTATCAGCAACATGCAACATTGTGCCGTAGAGCTGGACCGGTGTATCTTGTGGCTTCCTTCAGATGATGCTGGTCAACCTTTCTTTCCATCTCTCTCTCTCTCTCTCTCTCTCTCTCTCTCTCTCTCTCTCTCCCTCCCTCCCCCCCTCCTCCCTTCTTCCCGGAGGGTAGATTACGTGTCCCCCATGATACGAGCTGCGTCGTGGTGAGATGCTACGGGATGCTCACCAGCAGTACGTGCTCGCCACGAGAGTACGGGTACTACTGACTGTATCGGCCGTAGCCGCCGCCCCTTCCAGCTCAGAATGAGGCAAGGCAAACTGCGGGACCAGGTCCCCATCACGGCAGGATACAACGGCGCAGGATTGCGTCCTTCCCACCACCCCCATCGTCGGTCCAGGAGGGTC